TGCTGGTTCCATTGAATTGGCTGGATTATTCTGTAATACTTATTTTGTAATATTTCTTTAATTGGAACTCAACTGCAGCATTTCTTGGTTGCAACAACAATAAGGTTCACCTCCTTTTATATTGGTATGAAACTATGGTCACTGTACCTTTAAATATCCATGTAGGTAAAATTAGGTTTTGTAACAATCCCTTATGAGTAAGAGGAATAATTAAACAAAGTGACACTTTAGTGAGTTTTAGATACTGTGTAATATAAATAATAGTAATTGACTTGTTTGGTAAAAGTATTACTTAACTTAAAGGCAGTTCTGGCACTGGAAGGGTTAATTCACCCAATGAAGGAGAAATTAGAAGTCCGTTTCAACAAGCTGAGAACTAGGAGTGGAGAGTGGGGAAGTCCGTTTTAACAAGCCGAGGTCTGGGAGTGGAGAAGGTAGAAAGTTACAAGCCGAGGTCAGAAATCCGTTTACAAGCCGAGGTCGAGAAGTGGAGAAGGTAGAAATCCGTTTACTAGCCGAGGTATAGAAGTGGAGCAGGTAGAAATCCGTTTACTAGCCGAGGTATAGAAGTGGAGCAGGTAGGATCAGAAGTAGAGCAGCTGATCTTCATGCAGCACCTGTGCGAATAATCCAGCCCTTTGAATCTGGCGCGGTCCTCCTAAGTATCGTGGAGGGACCGCGTCAGAGAAAGGGGCGGGGCTGAGCGCCGTGAACCCGGAAGTGGGTTCCGGCGATAAATTACATGCCATGCTATACCTGACACAAGGTGGGTCTCCATGGATCGGATTTGTTGTTCCAGCACATCCCATAGATGCTCAATCGGATTGAGATCTGGGGAATATGAAAGCCAAGGAAACGCCTTGAACACTTTGTCATGTTCCTCAAACCATTCCTGAACAATTTTTGCAGTGTGGCAGAGTGCATTATCCTGCTGAAAGGGAACAGCATTGCCATGAACGGGTGTACGTGGTCTGTAACAATCTCTAGGTAGGTGCTATATGTCAAAGTAATATCCACACGAATGCCAGGACGCGATGTTTCCCAGTAGAATATTGCTCAGAGCATAATACTGCCTCCACCGGCCTGCCTTCTTCTTATAGTGCATCTCCTGCCATCTCTTCCTCAGGTAAACTGTAACCGCTGGTGGTTCCCTTATTTACCACTAGAACATCTTAAAGCATAGAACTTAGCAGGGCTAACCATACAGATATCTTAGCCAGAATGTTATATAGTTAGCAAGTGATCCTCTATTTAAAATATATAAATAATTGAGAATACAATATAAAATAAGGATTGTCTTGGATGCAATAAAGTTTTGTCTTTTAGATATTTATTATATAAAAATATAAATATAGACATATAAAATCCATTACAATAATTTATAGCAGAGTTTATAAGATTAAATGCTTGTATATATCATTAATAGGTTAACATATCCTTCTGAACATGTCATCATGTCAGCCTCTCTGTCATTTTAAGATGGAGCAGCGTCTGTCTCCAATCTCTCCTCTGTCTTAACATTTAAAAGTACACCTATTTATACCTTAGGTGTCTTTATTTTAGGGTTACCGTAGTTCATATATGAAAAAGTAACACTTCTTTTACTTTATTCATTTTAGGACCTCCCTTAACTTGGCAAACATACAAGGCCATAACTAAAGGGTGTATACGTCATGGAAATTTTCCTGACTTAGTTCAAGATGGCATCTTAAAGTCTGGACATCCTTATCTACTTAGGATTACCACAGTATATTACGTACTGAAAGAGTTGTAGCATAGCCTTGAAGCTTGTTGATGCATTATTGTTATTGTATTCGTCTGGGACAAAATGGCGTAAACATATTATGCACTGAAGGTAGGTAAGAGGTTATTGCTTAAAGAAACATTGTATGAAAAACAACATGTTCCATTTCTAACACCTTGTCAGTTTGCAATCTCTCTTAAAGACAAAGTACACAGTTTGAGAAATACAATATTTGCATTTTGCCCATAGCAAAACTATGTGTACACGAACCAAGCCAACCTACCAGATCTAAAAGAAAAAGTGATTCATGAGACCAGATAACTTTCTACCATTGGTAACCTTCTTCCATTGCTCCATGGTCCAGTTCTGGTGCAAACGTTCCCATTTAAGGCACTTTCAGTGGTGGACAGGGGTCATCATGGGCACTCTAACAGGTCTGCGGCTACGCAGCCCCATACGCAGCAAACTGTGATGCACAGTGTGTTCTGACACCAGCATTACGGTTATCAGCAATTTGAGCTACAGTAGCTCTTCTGTGTGAATGGACCAGACAGGCTAATCTTCACTTCCAAGTTCATCAATGAGCCTCGGGCGCCCTTGACTCAGACACCAGTTCACTCCTTTCACCACTTTGGTAGGTACTAACCACTGCATACAGGGAACACCACACAAGACTTGCAGTTTTTGGAGATGCTCTGACCCAGTAGTCTAGCCATCACTATTTGGCCATCGTCACAGTGACTCCGATATTTTCGTTTGCCCAATTTTCCTGCTTCCAAGACATGAAATACAAGAACTGACTCTTCACTTGCTGCCTAATATATCCCACCCCGTGACAGAAGCCATTGTAACGATATAATCAATATTATTCATTTCACCTGTCGGTGGGTTTAATGTTCTGGCTGATCAATGTTAATTCCAACACAGGTTAGGATTAGTTACATTTAATAACAGGACGGTCATCTAAATAAACCCAATAAATCTGCTGCTTTATTATCATGTACCCATTAACAGCCTTCCAATATTTCCTGACTACTTGAGTTGCAGCCATGTTGCTTCTGTAGCAGACCTCACCTGAGGTAGCAAGAGAAAAAAAAATTATATATATATATATATATATATATATATATATCCAAGTTAAAAGCAGAAACCCTCACATGCAAAAATTGCACAAATACAATATTTATTTAAAAAAACCTTTAATATTAATGTTAGTCACTAAAGTGAGAATTCAAAGTTAATTTAAAATTTCAGGGCAAAATAGTTGAAATGAAAACAATTATCCACGTCAGCTACGCTTTCAGTGCAGCTACTCTTAAATTTGAAATACACTCTGAATTCGCTTCAAAATGTAATGATGATTGTCAATAATAATGGGCGGATGGAAACAGGAGGGAGTCAACACAAGAGTTCGCTCAGGGTTCCTGAAGGCCTAAGGTATGTCATGGCAGGAAGCATATGGTCTAAAGTTTGTTAAACTCAGCTTATTTGAGCTGCATTTCCCCTTTAAGTGGTAAATTCAAATGAAATGGTTAAATTACGCCGGAGCGGGTGTGACGGCAGATGTCTATGTCACAACTGAAGTTACAATATGATTGTAAAACACAGGCTCGGATTAACAAAGCAGCAAACAATGGCAGGAGCGCTGCTACCCAACACTGAGGGGCCAGCTTGCAATGTAGGGAAGGGGGGGTCTTCTGACCTTTGACCTTCCTCCATTACTAGCCTGTCACGCAGATCAGGCCTCGGGAGCACCTGCAAGGATTTACACAATGGAAGAGCCTGTGTTCCTAAAAGGAGAGCACGCCTGGGGGTTTACAGTATTCCGAGGGATTTACTCACTAAGTAGTGAACTGGAAAAACAAATCACAAACTTTAGGGAGAAAACAGCTGCTTTGGGAATAAAATGTGACTCTGTAATAGTCACAGCTGGACTATTGTAGCCAGGATGTTCCACATTGGTTTTCAAATCAGCAAAATTCACCGTTTAGGGAACAAACCGTAAAGTAACACCGAATAAAAAAAAATATATAAGTGATAGGGAAGAATGTACACCACAAACCCAAACCCCTACTACACAACAATGGACACACTGCAGCCAGTGACACAATGGCACACAGACAAACAGACCAACTGGAACCATATGTCCATATTCTGGGCCAAATCCCTCTGTCCTTGTTTCTAGGAGCTCTATATTGTTGGTGTGTCTGAGTGTATAACAGAGCTCCACAGCAATAATACTCCCAGTAATGTGTCTGAGTGTATAACAGAGCTCCACAGCAATACTACTCCCAGTTATGTGTCTGAGTGTATAACAGAGCTCCACAGCAATACTACTCCCAGTTATGTGTCTGAGTGTATAACAGAGCTCCACAGCAATACTACTCCCAGTAATGTGTCTGAGTGTATAACAGAGCTCCACAGTAATAATACTCCCAGTAATGTGTCTGAGAGTATAACAGAGCTCCACAGCAATAATACTCCCAGTAATGTGTCTGAGTGTATAACAGAGCTCCACAGTAATAATACTCCCAGTAAGGTGTCTGTGTATAACAGAGCTCCACAGCAATAATATTCCCAGTAATGTATCTGAGTGTATAACAGAGCTCCACAGCAATAATACTCCCAGTAATGTGTCTGAGTGTATAACAGAGCTCCACAGCAATAATACTCCCAGTAATGTGTCTGAGTGTATAACAGAGCTCCACAGCAATAATACTCCCAGTAATGTGTCTGAATGTATAACAGAGCTCCACAGCAATAATACTCCCAGTAATGTGTCTGAGTGTATAACAGAGCTCCACAGCAATAATACTCCCAGTAATGTGTCTGAGTGTATAACAGAGCTCCACAGCAATACTACTCCCAGATATGTGTCTGAGTGTATAACAGGGCTCCACAGCAATAATACTCCCAGTAATGTGTCTGAGTGTATAACAGAGCTCCACAGTAATAATAATAATACTCCCAGCAATAATACTCCCAATAAAGTGTCTGAGTGTATAACAGAGCTCCACAGCAATAATACTCCCAGTAATGTGTCTGAGTGTATAACAGAGCTCCACAGCAATAATACTCCCAGTAATGTGTGTTTAAATTACAATAAATGTGTTTAAAACAGTGTGTGTAAATAAGATACATTGTTCTAAATTACATTTTAGTTAGTATAAATTGTTATTAGTAAGTCAGAACAGGCCCTGCCCATTGCCACACCCCTACTGACACCCCTAAAATTAAAGGAACACTCCAGATCCCTAAAACACTTTAGCTTACTGAAACGTTTTATATTTGAAGAGTGTTTCCTATTTTTGTTTTCCTATTTGCAAAAAGTGCAGATTTCAATAGAAATTTACATTTTTATAAATTAACTTTGTAACACCCACCAGCTGCCAATCTGACAACCGTTTAGTTACTTCCTGGTTCGATTAGCTCAGTGAGGCAGCAATTGCCCAGAGCAGTTGCTTCGTAAAAACTCATTAAAGGACCACTATAGTGCCAGGAAAACATACTCGTTTTCCTGGCACTATAGTGCCCTGAGGGTGCCCTCACCCTCAGGGTCCCCCTCCCGCCCGGCTCTGGAAGGTGGAAAGGGGTAAAAACTTACCTTTTTCCAGCGCTGGGCGGGGAGCTCTCCTCCTTCTCTCCTCATCCGTTCCTCCTCCTGAGCTGAATGCGCACGCGCGGCAAGAGCTGCGCATTCAGCCGGTCGCATAGGAAAGCATTATCAATGCTTTCCTATGGACGCTTGTGTGCTCTCACTGTGAAAATCACAGTGATAAGCACGCAAGCGCCTCTAGTGGCTGTCAATGAGACAGCCACTATAGGCTTTGGGGGAAGGCTTAACCATTAATAAACATAGCAGTTTCTCATTAAGCTGAAGTGGTCTGGGTGCCTAGAGTGGTCCTTTAAGCTGCATTGGGAAGTCTGTGATTGGACAGCCACAGAAAGTCTGGGCGGGGTTAAAAGGGGAGGACTTGCAAAGGCAGCAGACAAGAGAACTGACGGTTTTGCAAGCTACTTTAAGATCGACCCCCAATGAAAAATGCATGCATTTTTTTATTTGAGGTATATCTACTAAACAGTGATTTTTATTTAGTTTGTATTAGGGCAGTGGATTGTCCCTTTAACCCCTTAAGGACACATGACATGTGTGACATGTCATGATTCCCTTTTATTCCAGAAGTTTGGTCCTTAAGGGGTTAAAGTTTTCCTCTTCGTCAGTTTGAAATTTTGGGAGTTATGTTACCCAATCAAATATCTAAATAATATGTTTATTACAGGTGTTTAAGACCAAATAAAAAAAAAGTGTTTGGCTACAACACTCATGTGGGAACTCCCCTAACATCACACCATAAACACATGCACAACATTAATAAAGTACGTTCAGGTAACACCAAACATGTAAGTGCAGTGTCAAAATGACTTTCACCTTTACCTTAACAATACATTCTTAATCCAAACAATATAGAACAGCTTGCAAACTACTGAGAAAAACAATGAGAGAAAGAACAATATATAGTGTAGTATATTTCACAAAAAATGTATTGCTCTTGTGAATGGCGCAGTACTGATGCTATGCCCCTAAAAATGGACACTGAAACCATGAATGACTCTAGATTAGTAACACGCAGGTTTAAAGGTGATATTTAAAGCATGTCCTATACTCAAAGTAGAGAGGAGGTTACTCACCATTGTAAAGCGCTCAATGTAAGCCAGGCACTTCTGGCGTAAGTCGGTCTGTCCGTAAGTCACAGCAGCCTGTAATAGAAACCGTATAGGAGACAAACTGACTAGACCGCGAGAATGAGCACTATACAATAATAAAATAATAGCATAAACAGAATAATGACCATTTCTGCACTCCTGTAAAAAGCATTGTCTGAGCCACGTATCCCAGCCGCATGCAGATAATGGGGGTTATTGTGGCAATATTCCTAATTCAGAAAAAAAGCTATTTAACTTCTTTCCTTTTACGTTAGAGGATTATTTATTAGACAGGGAACTGTGGAGAACTGGAAAACATTATAGCTACTACATCTTGGCGCTATGTCAAACCATATTAAGCAAAAGCAGCATTCTCCGTGGCACCCAAATCATATATTATCATATGCTGATAATAAAGACATTCCCAAAATATTTAGTAGGGTTAAGGATACTGTATCACTAGACAACTCAGTTGCCCAATTGGCTTCACTGATGCAAACCATAAATTAAGCAAAGTACGCAAGGTGGGAGACTGTTTTTAATCTTTCATTATTACACTTTTTTTTTTTTAAGATTCTGACATTGAATGGTCTAACCCAGCAGAGAACAATATTAGATTTATACTATCTAGCCACACCCAATTATAATTAAATTTATATAATTAAAATCATTTTAAGTGATGTATGTGTATATAAAAGTACTTTGATCATATATATATGTATATATACATACATACATATATATGATCTAGATACTTTTTATTTAATTTTAAAACTGTTTTATAACTTTTATAAACTTTTTTACAGGCATAAGGGGGACAGCCTGAGAGCTCACGCAGTCCCCTAGCAGGCACTGCATAAGCCGGCTATTCTGGCCATGTGATTGTGAAATCCCCATGATCACATGGCCCGGGAGGGCCAGATCGGGCAGAGGGGGACTGCTGAGCTCCCAGGCAGTTCCCAGGATCGCGACAGCCGGCGTGGGATCGCCGGGGACCCAGTAAGTGCCCAGGACGGCGGGGACATACTATGCTGCCATCCGGCATTTAGAGCTACCCTAATAAGGACGGCATAAAACACCTGCCATACAGCGGTAAATACCCCAGAAAAAAGGGGGGCTGTAAACAAGTGCTTGCTTTGCCCTCCTATTTGTTTTACATGTCAATGTGCAGGGACAGATTTCTGGAAATGCAAAGCTCAAAGTTAATGAATGTCAATTTCAATCTTGTGGCTTGAATTGGCCCTTAGTTTATGGGCACCGCTGCTGGAAAATTTAGCAACAAGGGAGTCAACATTGAGAAACGAGCAAAGCATTCACCCTACACAAATTAAAGGAGCACTAAAGCTACCAACACCACTTCATCTCCATGACATGATTTAACCGAGGCTTGATGTCCTCATGATGCAGAGCGTGAGGATGTCCAGCGTCAGTTAGGCCACCAAAAGTAGTCTAGCTACCACTAAGTGCCTCTAATGGCTGTCTGATTGACAGCTATTAGGAGCAGTCTTAGTCCTGCAATGCTATCTTTGCAATTTCTCAAAAACAGCAATGATTTACATTGCAGGACTAACGGGGGACAGAGACATTGCACCCAGACCACTTCAATGAGCTAAAGTGGTTACGGTGCCTATAGTGTGCCTTTAAAGAGTAAAGGATCCTCATGAGAGGGTTTTAAAGTCATAATACACAGGTACTAGCCACCTCTGAGTTTTACAGTTTCTATTTAGTTTTAAGGAGAGCTGTACAATGGAGAATTTGCGTAATCCAAATGATTAATCCTAACTACTCTTTCGGCAGCCCTACGGCCTATGCTTACTTAGAGACACACTCACTGTTTGGGGCCCTTAAAGAAAGACTCAAAAGTCATAAAGCAGGTCAGCTTGTAACACCCTCATGGCTGTGAATCAGACAACCGGTCCGGTTAGTTACTGGTTTCATTAGCTCAGTGTAGTTAACCTCAAGAGGCAGCAACTGCCTTGCAAAGACTTCTCATTGAGCTGCATTGGGAACTCTGTGATTGGACAGCCACAGAAAGTATGGGCGGGGTTTGAAGGGGAGGGCTTGTAGTAGTTGCATACATTAGAACTGCAGCGATTGCAAGTAAATAATTCATACACTCACAAAGAAAACATACAAATCAAATATCATTCATATTTTCATTGGCTTATATCTTACAAATTTTATTTTGTTTTAAGGAGTGTTCTTTAACCCCTTAAGGACACAACTTCTGGAATAAAAGGGAATCATGACGGAATATTTCCGTCATGTGTCCTTAACGGGTTAAAAGGAATACGGTAAGATTAGGTATTTATCTCATCTAACCAAGCTAGAGTGAGTTAGCAGTAATTATATCTGGATGAAAACACTTGTCCCTCAGTGCAAAAGGCTGGAGAGCTAGCTTGATTTGCCCTTAAGGCTTGCAATCAAACAGAGGTCCTGTGGAATTGTATCTCCAGGAGACACACACTGCCATTATGAGCCTACTATGCCAGCTCTCAGTGCCCTAGGTGATCCTCCAGCATCCACTTACCTGCAAGGCTTCACACGCCAGCTCTACTGTCAGGGTCTTCGTGATAAACTCCACACAGAGCTGGAAAAGAGAGCAGTGAGTGCAACATTCTGTTAGACAGGTAAGTGACGCAGAATTACAAAAGGTAGATACACTGGGTATTACATTCTAAGAAGTCAAAACGTAAAATTTAGGATCAAAATAGTCGAACTGGAAAAAAGTCAGCTATGCTTTAAGTTCGGCTACTTTGGCCTTAAATTTAACATTCACCTTGAATTCTCACTTTAGTGTATAACCCTGGTAATTTTACTGAATTGATTAAGTCCAGAAAGATCAAAGACTCAGATGGTCCTGCCAGGGATCCAGCTAGCAGCTGGAGCACTAACCAGTGAGCTATCACACTACTTTAGCCAAATGACCTGACTGATCAGTAATCTCAGCCGGTATATAAGAGGTCTAGAGCCGCGTTTAGGAGGATACGAGATGGCAGAGAGAATGTAAGGTCTCACCGAACACATTGATTTGCCAATAAAAGCTGCTTTTAATAGAGTGGATTATTAATTTGTTTCTTCACTTCCACTAAGCACATCTAATACCCTATAAACACAGCCCATCGGTAATCAATGAATGCAGTGGTCACGGTTTATGTCCTCCCTTTGGGATTCTCCCTTTTAAAAACTTTTTGTCACTGGTTATGGGATTTCAGTTCCCAACGTGCCCTCCCATTGTGACTACATATCTTCCAATGTTGGGATTTATGAAAAAGTAGCCGAACGCTCTCCAGTCTCAAAAACACCGGCATGAATCACTGACAACTAAAAACAGAGAACAAACGGGGTTATTCACTCAAGTTAAAACTCAAAGTTCATTTCAGATTTAAGGTCAAAATAACCTTAACAAAGTTAGCTCTTCTGTCAGTTTAGCTACTCTGGCCTTTATTGTTAAATTTACTGCAGATTCTAAAATCTCTGAAAATCCAATTTAATCCCAGCGACCTGGGGATTGATAAATTACAGAACATGCACAACGGCTCCTCAAGCATGGCCTTCTAAAATGATGGACATTAGTACGGAATGGGCCCTGATTCACTCTCCCGGGCTAGTGACTAAACCCGCAGGGTAAAACCCGACTAATCTTCACAGAAAAATAATAATATTTAGAAAAGAAGCAGAGTGGACTTTTCCAGCACGTTGGGAGTCCACCATGTGACAACCAGTGGCTGAAAGACATTGAACTCTGTGCTCGGAGAGGCTCCTAGAAAGAGGTAGGAGGAGAATCCGGAATATTTCTAATAGGGAACTTGGGTGCTTTCCCTGCTGCACACAACGCAAGGACTTCCCCAAGGATCTTCCCTGAATGCGGTTAAATTTAGCCCAGTCATGTCAGGAGGGGAGTGAGTCAGACAGGCGCTGTGTGAGCGTGTAAATTGCTTAATCACACACACACAGTATGACACAGGGCCCGTTGGCCTCACATGGATAGAGAGCCCAGTCTGTTATCCCCAGCTCATCATTTCAAACGTAGCATGTTTTCACAATAACCCTTTACCAGACAAAAACACAGAGACGGGTTCTTGGACAAATGAGACACTGGAAATAGTATTGCTGAAAATATTCCCCCTGCAAACATGGCTGTGTGATCGATAATGTCTGGTTTTCCTAGAGTCTGCATTGAAATAGTGCAATGTTAAGTAGACTATCTAGTGACTCTCAAACTAGTATTACCGACATCCTCACTGGGACAGGACTGGCTAATTCATAGACCTGGGCATTTGTTTTCGAAAAGAAAATTCAAACAAAAAAGGTCTCATTCGTCCGAATTGTGAATCTCCCAATTGGCACAACGGAAGAATGAATTAACAAACTAATCACAAGATGAACAAAATTCTTCCCTTTATTCCTTAATTCCTTATGTGGGATTGCCACATTTAACAGTGCCAAATTAGGGAGCTGTAGTGTTTAGCAGATAGCTCCTTAATTTGTTAAATATGGTAATCCCACATAACAGTGCCAAATTAGGGAGCTGTAGTGTTTAGCAGATAGCTCCTTAATTTGTTAAATATGGTAATCCCACATAACAGTGCCAAATTAGGGAGCTGTCGTGTTGAGCAGATAGCTCCTTAATATATTAAATATGGTAATCCCACATAACAGTGCCAAATTAGGGAGCTGTCGTGTTTAGCAGATAGCTCCCTATTTTGTTAAATATGGTAATCCCACATAACAGTGCCAATTTAGGGAGCTGTTGCGTTTAGCAGATAGCTCCCTAATTTGTTAAATATGGTAATCCCACATAACAGTGCCAATTTAGGGAGCTGTCGTGTTAAGCAGATAGCTCCCTGATTGTTAAATATGGTGTGGCAAACCTAGCCACTTGAACTATAACTAGAGACTGTGCCTTTAAGGGTTGCCTACAGGTCTGGGGAGATATGCGCTTTATTGTTATGTATGTGCTTAATGTATTTTCTGCAGTGACTGTAACTATCTGTTTCGCCGAATGCAAATGGAGGTTTGTATGGGGATTTCCGTTCGTTTCACGAACGGCACTTTGGAGGGCCGTTCGTGAACCGAACGCGATACCCCCTAATAGCCCACACACTTAGAGGCGTGTGGCGCTAGTTAACCGATTGCAACAATGTTGCAATCGGTAATTAGAGGCTCTCCAGGGTGGCCGTCGTTCGACTACCGACCATGCGGCGGTCGGCCATCTTGGATCCTTTGTTCCCTCAGCGGGGTTATGTCGTCGAGCGCCTGGTACTAAAAACGGCTACTCGACGGCATGAGCCCCGCTGAACCTCCAGGGCGTTCGGGAGTTTCGGGACATTCGGTATTTTGTTCCCTAAAAGCAATCGGTTCTTTTTATATATTTTATACGAATTGTGTTGTTCGTGCGGCGTTCGGTTATTTTAGCTGGGATCTGAGCGGTAATCTCACGAATGATACCCTCAGACCCCAGCTATCTACCGAACGTCCATTCGTGTAAATCCACTGTATATTCACCGAGTTATGGATTTTTATGTGAATTGTCGGTTCTGCTGCACGAGGGGATAATCCACTTAACGGTGCATTCTGGGAAGATGATCCCTCTCATGTAGCAGTGCCTGATGGGAGAAATATGCTGTAATGTAAGTCCCCCATGTAGTCCCCTCTGGGAGTGCCCCTGGGGAGGGACTCAGGAAACCCCTTGCATGGGGACTTGTATAAATTGTCCTGCTGATTAAAAGGTTGTCAGTTGACTCCCAGAACTGTGTCTCGTCCGGTTATTGGGAGGTTGGGGATATTGCCTTGTTGTTTCAGCGCTTGACTGTGGATTCGTTTCTGAACCAGCGGAATTCGTGAAGTTATTATTGGCGTTCCGCTACAATTGGTGGCAAGCGACGGGATCCAACTCTACAGCCGAATACAGCGCATTCGAATGAAAGGAACAACCGAACGGAAAGGCAATTCGTATGAAACAAGCAGACGAAAGCGATCAGTGAATGGGTACTGATTATACGGCATTAAAGAGACAGACGCTAAAGGAGCTGCTGGAGGCTAGAGGGAAAAGCGCTAGCAACAAATCGAAAGCAGTACTGATTGCAGAGCTGATGGAGGGCGACCAAGCACACAGCAGTCCACCCCCACCTGCCAGAGAGGAAACACCATACCAGAGGGAACTGAGAACCCGGCTGGAATTTGTACCACAGCCAGTAACCCTGGACATCTTAACCGTGCTGATGGCGGACGTCCAGGATTACATTATGGCACAGCAGCACCAGAGGTCACCATCCAGGGCAGAATCCATCGCCAACTCATTCTGCGCTCCAGTGAAGCAGAAAATACCTTACCAGGCATTTAAAGCATTCTGCGAGGAGAAGGATGAGATTGACGGATACCTGCAGGATTTTGAGCGGTTGTGCGACCTACACGATCTGGAACAGGCTATGTGGGTACCCCTACTGGCAGGCAAGTTGGCAGGACGAGCAGCAGAGGCGTATCGCGCTGTGCCCAGAGAGGATAGCAAGGACTATTTTAAAGTTAAGAGGGCAATTCTGGAGAGGTATGCCATAACCCCGGAGGCGTACCGGCGTAAATTTCGGGGATTGAGGAAGCCAGAGAAGGATTCCCACGCTGAGTGGGCACATAAGCTCGACCAAGCGTCGCAAGGATGGATTCAGGCGAGCCAAGCTACCACCATGGAGGGACTGCGCCAACTCATCCTGCTGGAGCAATTTTTTAACGGACTGTCACCCGAGGCACAGGAATGGGTAAGAGACAGAAAACCCCTCACCTTAACCGAAGCCGCCCGGTTGGCGGATCAGCATTTTGACGCCAGGAGGCATCATGGGCTTCTCAACAGGGCTCCCCTGAGACCAGCTGTACCACACCACCCAGCCATCTCCACACCCGCCAACGCTACTCCATTCCGGCCACCACCAGGAAACCCCCCACCGCCATCACGCTACAATGGCAGGGCCAACATACAATGCCATACCTGCCGGCAGTGGGGGCATATGTCCCGGGAGTGCACCCAGAATCGGAGCAGGCAGGCGTGGAACCAGGTACGGTAAAACTCCGCTCCAAGGGCGGCGGCCCATTTCTACCACACAGAACCTGACCACTCGGAGCTGACAAGTCTACCTACTGAGGAACCATTGGGGGTTCTGTATGAGGTGATGTCTGTGCAAGCCACGGACAACCGGCAGCATCGCCGCCAGGTTGTGTTTGTGGGAGGGAAAGAAGTGCAAGGACTACGGGACTCGGGAGCCACCTTGACCCTAGTGGCCCCCCATTTAATTCCAGATGCGGCCCACACGGGCGGGTCAGTGGCGGTCCGGGTAGCAGGGGGAGCCATGTACCGGTTACCCACGGCCAAGGTGCATTTGAACTGGGGTGCTGGGGAGGGGGTTGTGGAAGTGGCCATAATGAAGAAATTACCGGCCGATGTTGTTTTGGGGAATGACTTGGGCCAGATGACTTCTGCTTTTCTTCCCCAAGCTCCTTCACAAGAGGCGCATCCGGTAACCACCCGGCAACAGGCTCGCACCACGGCATTCCCCGCACACTCTGAGGCTCAGGTAAGAAACCATGACCCCCCCTTGACCGACATGACTTGGGACACCCCGACCACTTTTGAAGCTGAGGTTCAGACAGACCCCACACTGCAGGTGTACCGAGATAGGGTAGACACGGACCAGGTGGGGCGAGAGGGAGAACGGTACGTATGGGAAAAGAAGTTACTGTACCGGGTGGCGGAAAGGGCAATAGGCAACTCTGTGACGCTCCAAACCAAGCAGCTAGTAGTGCCCCAGAAGTATAGGCAGGAGTTACTGAGAATAGCCCATGATATTCCTCTGTCCGGCCATTTAGGGATGACCCGGACCCGGTATCGCTTAACGCACGCTTTCTTTTGGCCCGGGATTTCTAAAGACGTGAGGCAATATTGTACCTCCTGTGATGTGTGCCAGAGGGTAGGCAAAAGGGGGGATCGCCATAAGGCAAAACTATGTCCCCTACCCATAATTGAGGAACCGTTCAGCCGTGTAGCAGTAGATATAGTAGGGCCCCTACCAAAACCCAGCCCCTCTGGGAAACGGTATATCCTGACCGTGGTGGATTACGCCACCCGGTACCCCGAGGCGATTGCCCTAACTAATATACACGCGGAGACCGTAGCCGAAGCCTTGATGAAGATATTCTCCCGAGTAGGGTTCCCACAGGAAATGGTCTCAGATAGGGGGACCCAATTCACGGCTGAAGTTACTCAGCAGTTATGGGGGATATGTGGCATAAAGCCGATCATTAACTCCGCGTACCACCCGCAATCCAATGGATTATGTGAGAGATTCAACGGTACCCTAAAACAGATGCTCCGGACATTCGGAGAGACCCATAAGGACTGGGAACGATTCCTTCCCCATCTGTTGTTTGCGTACAGAGAGGTGCAGTTCGACTACCGACCATGCGGCGGTCGGCCATCTTGGATCCTTTGTTCCCTCAGCGGGGTTATGTCGTCGAGCGCCTGGTACTAAAAACGGCTACTCGACGGGTTTCTCCCCATTTGAACTATTGTTTGGGAGAAGGGTCCGGGGACCGTTGGATCTCATTAGAGAGCATTGGGAGGGAGAGAGTAGCGCAGATGGGACCCCTATTGTACCATACGTGCTGGCGTTCCGGGATCGCCTGGAGGAATTGACCCAGGCAGTGCGCACCAACCTCCAGGCCGCCCAACAACGGCAGCGTCGTTGGTATGACAGAGGGGCCAGAGACCGTAGTTTTCAAGTGGGACAGAAGGTGCTAATCCTCAAACCTGTCCGCACCGATAAACTGCAGGCCGTCTGGCAGGGCCCATACCAGGTGGTAGAGCAGAGATGCGACACCACCTATGTGATCGGCCCATGCTCCGGAGTAGGGAAGAGACGCATGCTCCATGTGAACATGCTCAAACCCTACCACGAGCGAACGGAGGACGTGGCAGCTATTTGCACGCCCGCCTCCGAAGATCAGGAGAACCTGCCCCTTCCGGATCTGTTAGAGCAGGAGGAGCAGAAGGAACCCTCCCAGGGGGTTCAGCTGGGGGAGCGGCTAAGTCCTCAAGAGCGTATCCAGGTACAAGAACTGATAGCAACCAAGGGCGCCACCTTTTCTAACCTACCTGGGTACACTCCACTAGCCACCCACCGAGTAGAAACCCCGGGACAGCTTCCCATGCGACAGACCCCCTATCGGATTCCTGAATCCGTGCGGGAACATATGAGGAAAGAAATTGAAGAGATGTTGCAGTTAGGGTTTATTGAACACTCAGATAGCCCCTGGGCATCGCCGGTAGTCCTGGTTCCCAAGAAAGACGGTACCACTCGGTTCTGCGTGGACTACCGGAGGTTGAACGACAAAACCGTGTCGGACGCCTACCCGATGCCTCGGATCGACGAGCTGCTAGATAGGATGGCCCGGGGTCAGTATCTCACTACAATAGATCTTTGTAAGGGGTACTGGCAAATTCCACTAGCCGAGGACGCCATTCCCAAGTCGGCGTTTGTCACCCCGTTTGGCTTGTACCAATTTCGAGTCATGCCATTCGGGATGAAAAACGCCCCCGCGACCTTTCAGCGGATGGTGGATCGGCTACTGGACGGGTTCCAGGATTATGCGTGTGCATACCTGGATGATATTGCCATCTACAGTCAGACCTGGTCGGATCACTTACAACATATAGGAGCTGTAATAGATCAGATCCGGGAGGCAGGGCTTACCTTGAAACCCAGTAAATGCCATATAGGGATGGCCGAGGTCCAGTACTTAGGGCACCGGGTTGGTAGCGGGCAACAGAAGCCCGAGCCCGCAAAGATTGACGCTGTAGCCCAGTGGCCCACCCCTAGGACCAAAACCCAAGTTCTTGCTTTCCTGGGTACCGCAGGGTATTACAGAAAATTTGTGCCCAACTACAGTGCCCTGGCCAAACCCCTGACTGATTTGACGAAGAAAAACCTGCCCAGGCAGGTCGTCTGGGCCCCAGAGTGTGAACAGGCATTCAACCAGCTGAAGACGGCTCTGACCAATGCCCCTGTACTGGCTGCTCCTGATCCAACTAAACGTTTTCTTGTTCACACAGACGCCTCAATGTTTGGATTGGGAGCAGTACTGAGCCAGGTCGGAGCCGATGGCGGAGAACACCCCGTAGCATACTTGAGTCGGAAACTGTTACCCCGAGAGGTGAGCTACGCCGCCATAGAAAAGGAATGCCTGGCCATGGTGTGGGCCCTGAAAAAGTTACAGCCATATCTCTATGGGCAACCCTTTTCTTTGCTCACAGATCACAACCCGTTGGTGTGGCTAAACCGTGTGGCTGGAGACAATGCCAGGCTGCTGCGCTGGAGTTTGGCGCTGCAGCCCTTTGACTTTACGATACACTATCGCCCAGGGAAACAAAACGGTAACGCCGACGGGTTATCTAGACAAACAGACCTTGAAAAGTGATCTGTGAGCACTTCCCCGGACATCCCCAAGCCGATCCGTTGGGATCAGACTGTGTATGCCGGCTTGGTTCTGGGGGAGCATTGTGGCAAACCTAGCCACTTGAACTATAACTAGAGACTGTGCCTTTAAGGGTTGCCTACAGGTCTGGGGAGATTTGCGCTTTATTGTTATGTATGTGCTTAATGTATTTTCTGCAGTGACTGTAACTATCTGTTTCGCCGAATGCAAATGGCGGTTTGTATGGGGATTCCCGTTCGTTTTACGAACGGCACTTTGGAGGGCCGTTCGTGAACCGAACGCGATACCCCCTAATAGCCCACACACTTAGAGGCGTGTGGCGCTAGTTAACCGATTTCAACAATGTTGCAATCGGTAATTAGAGGCTCTCCTCGGTGGCCGTCGTTCGACTACCGACCATGCGGCGGTCGGCCATCTTGGATCCTTTGTTCCCTCAGCGGGGTTATGTCGTCGAGCGCCTGGTACTAAAAACGGCTACTCGACGGCATGAGCCCCGCTGAACCTCCAGGGCGTTCGGGAGTTTCGGGACATTCGGTATTTTGTTCCCTAAAAGCAATCGGTTCTTTTTATATATTTTATACGAATTGTGTTGTTCGTGCGGCGTTCGGTTATTTTAGCTGGGATCTGAGCGGTAATCTCACGAATGATACCCTCAGACCCCAGCTATCTACCGAACGTCCATTCGTGTAAATCCACTGTATATTCACCGAGTTATGGATTTTTATGTGAATTGTCGGTTCTGCTGCACGAGGGGATAATCCACTTAACGGTGCATTCTGGGAAGATGATCCCTCTCGTGTAGCAGTGCCTGATGGGAGAAATATGCTGTAATGTAAGTCCCCCATGTAGTCCCCTCTGGGAGTGCCCCTGGGGAGGGACTCAGGAAACCCCTTGCATGGGGACTTGTATAAATTGTCCTGCTGATTAAAAGGTTGTCAGTTGACTCCCAGAACTGTGTCTCGTCCGGTTATTGGGAGGTTGGGGATATTGCCTTGTTGTTTCAGCGCTTGACTGTGGATTCGTTTCTGAACCAGCGGAATTCGTGAAGTTATTATTGGCGTTCCGCTACATATGGTAATCCCACATAACAGTGCCAAAGTAGGGAGCTGTCGTGTTGAGCAGATAGCTCCTTAATATGTTAAATATGGTAATCCCACATAACAGTGCCAAATTAGGGAGCTGTAGTGTTTAGCAGATAGCTCCCTATTTTGTTAAATATGGTAATCCCACATAACAGTGCCAAATTAGGGAGCTGTAGTGTTTAGCAGATAGCTCTCTAATTTGTTAAATATGGTAATCCCACATAACAGTGCCAAATTAAGAAGATATATTCTAAAAACGATCCATAATTTTTTTTAGGGAGTTATCTGCTAAACAGCTGACAGATCAAAATTAAAGGAACACTAAAGTCACCAAGGTCACCTCATCTCAATGAACTGGTCTGGGTGCAGTGTGGATAACGGTGCCGTGCAACGGGTCCATGCGCTAAGGCTTTTTGAAGTGGTTGTGGTGTGGAGCGCTGAGGTAGTTGCTTGGATCACTCTGCACTGATTTTCCAGCTGTGGCAACAATATAGAGCAGCAGGCAGCTGGAATACCATAGAGACTGATCCCGGCAACTACTCACTGGACCCCAGGGACGACGTTCCATTACAGGTCTTCCTTTCAAGGTAAGAAGAGGGTCACTGGGTGGACCCCGCTGTTGGTAAATAAATCCATTTATATTATAATTTTTATTTTATTACTTATTAAAACGAGGTGTCTGTGTAAGGATGTAATTATGAATGTGTTTATAAATGCCTGTGTGTAACTTTATGTAATTTGGATAAGAGGGCTATGTAAGAAATGCAGAACAGGATAAACCAGACAATAATTCCCAAATTCCTAAATTACAGACTTTATCTCATAAAAAAAAAAAAAAATGAAAATAAAAAAATATACATTTTGATTTATTTGTAGGGTGAGGTGGAGCACCCTCTGTGCTTTGAACAAATGTTTGTCTGCAAACACACTGAAAAGGACTCTCCCTGGAGCCTAATGCCCCATTTCATGTGATAAGGCTGCAATAGGCTACAGTGGTTATGGTGGTCGGAAGGTTAAGGGTATAATCTATAGTTACAGGGCTGAATAAACCATCTGCAATGGATTATAGTGGTTATGGTGGTTGGGTATAATCTATAGTTACAGGGCTGAATAAACCATCTGCAATGGACTATAGTGGTTAAGGTGGTTGGGTGTAATCTGTAGTTACAGGGCTGTATAAACCAGCTGCATTGTACTATAGTGGTTATGGTGGTTGGAGGGTTACGGGTGTAATCTGTAGTTACAGGGCTGCCTAAGCCAGCTGTACCTCTCTCTGCCCATTTCAATATATCACAAAGTTTGTAAAGTACAGTGGAAGTGGCCGGTGATTTATACACATCAATAAACAGTGTTCAGAACAAGCAGAACACATGCTATAGATTCTCTATGTATATCATTACACTAAACGGCTCACTGTAATGACAAACAGCTGGGAGGGAAGGGGTGATCTCAGGCAAGCAGGAATTCCTTTCCTCAAATCTTCAAAGCTGCTCTGATCTCTGCCTGACCCCTTAGAAGACATCCGGGAGTGAGAATTACACCCAGAAGGCAAACCATGAGGTCACTGCAACATGATGGGTTTGGTTAGGCCTTTGTGAACAGAGGAAAAAAAGAAAAACTAAGTTAAAGGGACACTACTGGTACCATAACCACTACACATAATTAATTACAACTTATTGTATTATTGCAGCTCACTAATTACAGCTTATTGTATTATTACAGCTTATTGTGTTATTACAACTCATTAATTACAGATAATTGTATTATTATAGCTTATTGTATCATTACAGCTCATTAATTACAGCTTATTGTATTATCACAGCTCATTAATTACAGCTTATTGTGTTATTACAACTCATTAATTACAGATAATTGTATTATTATAGCTTATTAGTTATATCTTATTGTATCATTACAGCTCTTAATTACAGCGTATTGTATTATCACAGCTCATTAATTACAGCTTATTGTATCATTACAGCTCATTAATTACAGCTTATTGTATTATCACAGCTCATTAATTACAGCTTATTGTATCATTACAGCTCATTAATTACAGCTTATTGTGTTATTACAGCTTATTAATTACATCTTATTGTATTATCACAGCTTATCGTATTATTACTATTATTGACATTTTTGTAGCACCAAATTTCACAGCGCTTTACAATAGTATTAAAGGGGACTTTGACAGCAAATGAGTATTGCAGATTTTGACAGGAGAATAGAGCTGTATTATTGGAGTTCTTTGTATCTTTACAGCTCATTGTATCATTACAACTCATTGTACCAGAACAGCGCATCATATCATAACAGCTCATTGTACTATAAGAGCTCATTGGATCATAACAGTGCATCATATCATTACAGCTCATTGTATCATAACCCATATTATTACAGCTCATTGTATCATTACAGCTCATTGTTTCTATTTATTTTATTTTAAAAATATTTTACCAGGATGGATACATTGAGATTTCTCTTGTTTTCACACAACATTGCATTGTAACAATAGGGTACAATTATTGTAGTAGTTATTAGCAAAAGGTATTTTTATCAAACCAGTTTCAGTCAACCATTCATTTCCAACCCCCTTGGCCACTAACATGATCACAAGGAATAGTTTTTCATTATCCAGAGAAAATATTTGTTTGGGGTTGCAGACGTGAATGTCGATGGCATAGTTTGGCAGAACATATAACAGGCGTTTAAAACCAGCTCCAGACAGTCATTACACTCTGGCTACCAAAGGGTTAACATGTGGAAATGTGTCTTGTAAATATTTATGAAGATTGTGTTTCTCATCTGTGGAATTTATAAATTTCTCACGAATCCTTGGTTCCCAGTAATCTCCTGCACAATGTGTTAGAGACAAGGTCCCATGAGAATCACAGAGGAACTGTCAGTGTGCAGCTATCCTGAACCATGCGCAGAGCTGACAATCCATGAGATGCTCCGAGCAAGCGTTGATCACAGCTTGTTAAATTCTAATGGTGATAAAACCAAGATATTATATATGTTCAGCTTTAAACAATGGAATCTGCCTTTGAAGTATGACTGTGTGTCTTCTACAACCAGTTTGAAGATGGCTAAACATGTGGCTGACATCACAGTCTGGTATTCGTAACAAGCGGGATGGATAATGAGCAGTGATACACTGTATTATCACAAGCTACATTTAATGGCAGGGGCCCCTGTATTGGATTTCCTGGGCTGCCTGTATCTCATTTACAATGTGCAGGGAAACAGCAAATGTTACGCGAGACAAGAAAATGGTGGTTCATACACCTACTAGCATTTCAAATGGACAAAGAGGGACATTTTATTTTTGGTGTGACTGGGGGTGGTTGGGGTGTGTGGCCAGGGTGGGGCTGTTCAGAGAAATTTTAGGTGACTTACTAATAAGAATTTATACAACTAATTTAGAATTAACACTGGCTGATTTCTGGACACATTTATTGCATTACTGGGAGTATTATTGCTGTGGAGCTCTGTTATACACTCAGACACATTACTGGGAGTATTATTGCTGTGGAGCTCTGTTATACACTCAGACACATTATTGGAAGTATTATTGCTGTGGAGCTCAGTTATGCACAAAGACACATTACTGGGAGTATTATTGCTGTGGGGCTCTGTGATACACTCAGATACATTACTGAGAGTATTATTGCTGTGGAGCTCTGTTATACACTCAGACACATTACTGGGAGTATTATTGCTGTGGAGCTCAGTTATGCACACAGACACATTACTGGGAGTATTATTGCTGTGGGGCTCTGTGATACACTCAGATACATTACTGAGAGTATTATTGCTGTGGAGCTCTGTTATACACTCAGACACATTACTGGGAGTATTATTGCTGTGGAGCTCTGTTATACACTCAGACACATTATTGGAAGTATTATTGCTTTGGAGCTCTGTTATTCACAGACACATTACTGGGAGTATTACTGCTGTGGAGCTCTGTTATACACAGACACATTACTGGGAGTATTATTGCTGTGGAGCTCTGTTATACACTCAGACACATTACTGGGAGTATTATTGCTGTGGAGCTCTGTTATACACCCAGACACATTACTGGGAGTATTATTGCTGTGGAGCTCTGTTATAACACATTACTGGGAGTATTATTGCCGTGGAGCTCTGTTATACACTCAGACACATTACTGGGAATATTATTACTGTGAAGCTCTGTTATACAGACACATTACTGGGAGTATTATTGCTGGGGAGCTCTGTTATACAGACACATTACTGGGAGTATTATTGCTGTGGAGCTCTGTTATACACTCAGACACATTACTGGGAGTATTATTGCTGTGGGGCTCTGTTATACACTCAGACACATTACTGGGAGTATTATTACTGTGAAGCTCTGTTATACAGACACATTACTGGGAGTATTATTGCTGTGGAGCTCTGTTATACACTCAGATACACTAACAATATGGAGCTCCTAGAAAAGAGGGACATTAGAATAGAAAGGAGGGACAGAGGGATTTGGGCCAAAAGAGGGACTATCCCTCCTAAATAGGGACACTTGGGGGTTATGGGTTTAGTAATAAAAGAATGGAGAGTCCTGTTTCGCTGATATGCTCGGTGGGATGTATGATGTGGGTGGCGGGTTATGATGATGTCATATATAGTGCTGCATTCACTTCTAAAACTCTCGTACTGATAGATTAAGGGGAGAAAACTCACTATATGCTCACACTGAACAAGCAGGAATGCGGCCTTACCGGATATTCAGTGTAACTGTCATAGGTAAAACCTGTTTGGTTAAAATGATAGAACTTTAAATTTCGTCTTAATGTTGTGCTAACAGAACTGATCTTTCAAAAAATCCAAACATGTCACCTTATCTCACCTGTCAATCATTCCTGGTACCTTATTTATTAATCAAATATTTTACTAGAAAGGATACATTGAGATTTCTCTAGTTTTCAAGTATGTCCTGCCATGACAAGTGCATTCTGTATTGAAGTATTTTGCCATAGACTTTAGATTGAATGAAGATTTGACTGTGTCCCTGAGGTTATTCCATAATTGTGGTGCTCTGTAGGAAAAGGAGGATCGAGCCACTTTATTTTTGTATTGCGGTATGCTAAATATCGTGCTAGTACTGGATCGGAGGTTATAGGAGGTGGGAACAGCCGGGGACAGCATTCTATTCAGGTAGGGTGGGAGCTTCCCAGAAATGCTCTTATGCACAAGGCTGGAAAGATGAAGGGTGCGTCTGGATTCCAGCGGCAGCCAGTTTAGCTCTTTTAAAAAGTCACAGTGGTGGGTAAAGAAATTACATTCTAATACAAAGCGGCAGAACAAATTATATAACGTATTAATTCACTTTTCTACTTCTGTGAATTGGATTTGGAGCACATTCTCAAGCTGCGGTTGCTTGGGTTTACTAGCGTAGATTACTGTGTCGTCTGCATACAGTTGAGGCTTTGCAGACGTTAGGCAGGTAATTTATAAATAATGTGAACATTAGGGGGCCGAGTATGGAGCCTTAGGGAACACCACACATGACCGGGAGAGGGAGGCGCCATCAGAAATGGTCACTTATATTGCTGGCATTGCAATGTACAGTCTGCATTCTTCATGACCCTCCCCCAGCCAACACTACAGCTTGCCATCACTTTACTACGGAACATGCGCACTGAGTCAATTCAGTGAGCAATGCTGGCAGTCAGGAACGAGTCTACTGTACACGGATGATAAGATACGATCTGTCGTTCCCTGCTTTAGGGAGGGTTTTAGCGTTTCCCAAACAAGGAGGAAGAGTGAAGGCAAGTGTTATAGCTAGCACAACACTAATGGAGTAAAATGTTCGACAAAAGAAGCTTTTTAATGTAAAAGAAAAATTAAATCAGACGCAGGTTCACTTTGAAGTGGTTCTGTCGCTGAACTCATCCTTTTCAGAAGTCAGTTTGAAGTAATATTTGCTACCGATTATCTTAATCTAGCTGAGATACAGTGAGTGTAATTAGGATCTCACCATGGTTTAGTGTTCCTTTGAGTAGAGTCAGTTTTCTTTGAAATGCAGTATCATTCGGAAACTCTCAGGGGTGTTCACTAACAGTGTAAATGGATGAGAATTCAAAGCAAATTCATAATAAATTTCAAATTTAAGGTGAAAAGAGCCAAACTGGAAAAATTCTCTAAGTCAGTTATGCTTTCAATTCGGACACTCGGACCTTAAATTTGAAATTCACTTTGAATTCTCATTCTAGTAAATAAACCTGTAAACTAGAACGTATCACAATTTATTATTATTGTCATTTATAAAATGACAACTTATTCTGCAGCACTTTACAGCTTCAAAAAGGGATTTAACAGCTGAGATAAACTATTCCAGCAAAATGTTGATGAGGATCTTGCTCAAAGGAGCTTACAATCTAGAGGAGGTGGGGTATAAACCACGAGAGGAAATGCTGTATGGGGGGATAGTAACAAAAGATGAGAGAGTAGGAATGCAGAGGAGTTGGTCAAATTAACTGGTAGAAAAATTCCAAGCCAGCTAAATGTATAATATCCTGGTCAATAAACGGCAATACCTGGTTTAGTGACTAATTCCACAAGTCACGTTTGCTGTGACAGGCGACATTATGCCTCAGGGTTCATGTAATAAAACGATAAGGTTTCATATAAGAATATATTTGTTATGAATGATCTAGCAGGTCGGATGCAGACAGTCACAAGCTATGAATCCAAGAAATATAGATGTTTCAGATCTGGTTTTTTTCGAACTCGTGGTATCGTAACTGTACATATGTTTTCCCGACCAGGGGAACATCTATAATTTAGGTTTCTGTGCATCTTGAGCAAAAAGGTTCTTCCCCTCATTGATGCTGCTCAGTCTCACTTATTGAATTTTTTTTGGAGGGGCTGACACGTTATGGGTGGCTCTTACCTATCCTGTTACACTTTCCCAGTACTTCTGATTGTCAGAAAAATCCCTAAAGTCTGGTCACTTCTTCTACTTACACAAAGGGGATTATTTGCATCAAGATTCAGTGTGCGGCACACAAACTGATGGGGACTAAATGTCAAAGCCCTTCCCTTTCACACATGCTCAGTGCTGGGGTAGGAAAACTTTGGCACTCCAGATGTTGTGGACTTCATCTCCCATAATCTTCCATAATGCTCTTACAACTAGAATGCTGGCATTGCATCAGGGGCCAAAGGTCGCCTACCCCTACTGGTGGCAGGGTCTTGTAGCCCATTAAACAGGCAATATAAGAACGGGCAAAACTTTAGAGAAACTTCGATAACTTGCCATTCAGTTAGTTTCCACTCAGGTCTCCACTTGTGTTATTATAGAGAGAAACTCTACGTTTACAAAAAAAATGACTTCCACCCATAAATCCAAAATACAGCAATCGTTCTGGCCTTCGTTCTTATAGCCCGTTCCCAGCATTAGAGGAAAACTCCAAGAACTGGTTGTAGTGGTTATGGTGCCAGGAGTGCCCCATCGCTGTCTCATTGTATGTGGTCATGGAATATGATGGCGCTATATAAATACCTGTAATAATAATAATAACCTTCTGCTTCCGGTCTTCTCTTGCAGGAGATTCTGTTAAGCTCTAGAGGTGAGGTCCATGCAATTCCACTCCATTCTCAGCCAATGAGCACAGTCCTGGATTGGTCGTGTTTTATTCTCTAGACTGATATCCGGCTTCTCCTGCAGTAGAGTAACAAATGTGGACGCGGGCACCCCAGGTAAGTTTTCAAATCGCACTCCTAGCACTATGACCACTACAGTTTGCTGTAATAACTATACTGCTAATAAATTGCAATCTTTAAGTTTAAATTCCAATATTGTTGAATGGGTAAGGCAATGGCTGAGTGACAGGCAACAAAAGGGTTGTAGTCAATGGAGTATATTTGAAGCATGGGCTTGTCACCAGTGGGGCACCTCAGGGATCTGTACTTGGACCATTCTCTTTAATATTTTTATTAGTGATATTGCAGAAGGTCTTGGTGGTAAGGTATGTCTTTTTGCTGATGATACTAAGATATGTAACAGGGTTGATGTTCCAGGTGGGATAAGCCAAATGGCAAATGATTTAGGTAAATTAGAAAAGTGGTCAGAGTTTAATGTGGATAAGTACAAGATAATGCATCTTGAACGTAAAATCCCAAGGGCAGAGTACAGAATATTTGATAGAGTCCTAACCTTAACATCTGAGGAAAGGGATTTAGGGGTGATTATTTCTGATGACTTAAAGGTAGGCAGACAATGTAATAGAGCAGCAGGAAATGCTAGCAGAATGCTTGGTTGTATAGGGAGAGGTATTAGCAGGAGAAAGAGGTAAGTGCTCATGCCATTGTACAGAACACTGGTGAGACCTCACTTGGAGTATTGTACGAAGTACTGGAGACCGTATCTTCAGAAGGATATTGATACCTTTGAGAGAGTTCAGAAAAGGGCTACTGAACTGGTTCATGGATTGCAGGATAAAACCTACAAGGAAAGGTTAAAGGATCTTAACATGTATAGCTTGGAGGAAAGGCGAGACAGGGGGGATATGATAGAAACATTTAAATACATAAAGGGAATCCACACAGTAAAGGAGGAGACTATATTTAAAAGAAGAATAACTACCACAACAAGAGGACATAGTCTTAAATTAGAGGGGCAAATGTTTAAATATAATATTCTGAAGTATTACTTTACTGAGAGGGTAGTGGATGCATGGAATAGCCTTCCAGCTGAAGTGGTAGAGGTTAACACAGTAAAGGAGTTTAAGCATGCGTGTGATAGGCATAAGGCTTTCCTAGCTATAAGATAAGCCAGGGACTAATGAAAGTATTTAGAAAATTGGGCAGACTAGATGGGCCAAACGGTTTTTATCTGATATCAAAGTTTATGTGTGTCCCTTTAAAACAAATGTACATATATATTGCAAAATGTATATGTATACTGCATATACAAACTGAACTTTCTCATTCTCACACACAATTTCCTCTTTACATCAGACACTACCTTTGATATTTCCCCATCCAGGGACTGACTAGACTTCCTCCCTTCCGCTCAGCTCTAGGTCAGAGCACTTGCAGTGATCAGTCAATTTTTTTGTTAGGAAATCCATGGGGGGGGGGAGGTGTGACACCCACAAGTTAAGTAAGCTAAATTAGCCTAAAATGTCTAATCTTTCCGTTTTCTGCAGACTTTAAAGGAACACTATAGGGTCAGGAACACAAACATGTATTCCTGACCTTATAATGTTAAAAAAACTATTTAGCTTCCTGCTAGATAGTGTTCATAACATTATTTAACATTATTTAAGGCCCACCTTAAATATAGTAAAATCTTATCTTTATGCCAGTCTGCTGGTGCTAGCTTCACTCCCGATCCAACTCTTTGGCTGACATCATCAGAAGTGATGAACTCAGCCAATCACAATGCTTTCCAACAGGAGAGCATTGAATTAGCCAAGATTGTCAATTCTGATGATTTCAGCCAAGGAGGCAAGCTGTGGGCAGAGCCAAATGTCACCCTGGCCAATCAGCATCTCCTAATAGAGATTAATTGAATCAATGAATCTCTATGAGGAAAGTTCAGTGTCTCCATGCAGAGGGTGGAGACACTGAAAGTCAGTCACACTGTGCAGTACTACCCCAGGAATCACCTCTAGCAGCCATCTCAGGAGTGGTCAGTGGAGGTATCATTAGGCCGTAATGGAAACATTTCATTTTCTCTAAAAAGACAGTGTTTACAACAAAACGCCTGCAGGGACTGACTATACTCGCCAGAACAAATACAATAAGCTGTAGTTACTGTCCCTTTCAATGTTAAAGTTTGGTGAGAGGCCCGCTGGTTAGGGGATAGCAGGTGATCCTTGGCTCACTGTTCACACTGTGATTTCAAACTGCAGGTATAACAATGGCCTCTGAGTTATGGTTAATGTGAGGTTATAGAAAGGTTAACCTTTCACTGTAAATTATTTTATTGTGTAAAAACGATTGCACAATGTGTACGTGAAACATGGGATGCATAACTAGCACATAGCAAAAACAATGCTGTACATAGATACCAAAAAAAAGAAAATGATATCAATTTACATGTACATTTTAGTTTTTTATTTGGTCAATGTTTACATAAATATTTTGGGGATAAAACATTTTACAGACTATATTTTCTTGAATCTTATCATAGAAACAGAAATGCTATTTGTCACAAACCGTAGGAATGACAAAAATAGATAAGAAAAATGGGTCTAATACCCTACTAATGGATATTTGTGAAGAACCTGGTGTTAATTCTGGAATACAGATTCTTAAAAAAGGCCCCAGAATATAAAACCAATGCTTACATATATAAAGTTTGTTGGCGCTATATAAATAATAACATATATAAAGTTTGTTGGCGCTATATAAATAATAACATATATAAAGTTTGTTGGCGCTATATAAATAATAACATATATAAAGTTTGTTGGCGCTATATAAATAATAACATATATAAAGTGCAGCGGCCAATTATTTGAGCTATACTGGGTGTTGCAAGCTACTACTGCAGCCAATAAAAAGCCGTGACTGCTAAGGACTGCGATACCAAACCCCAATAACAAACTGGCTCCGATAATACTCAAGACACCATAACTCATTTGGCACAAGGTGTAGGCCACACTTTTATTGAACGTTAACATTTTTATTGCCAGCTGGTTAATACTCCGCCTGGTTCTGCTCAATAAGGCAGCAGGCAGTTCCCCCAGGTAGTTGCCAAGTGCTTATGCCCCCTTACTTCTTCAGGTCAGGCACATCACCCCAATCTCCACAATTGTAGCAGCTTGACTTTAACATTGAGCTGGCAAGGCATCTTCCACCGCTGTGACAACAACAAAAGAAAAACACAAGCAGACAACGAAGAAAACAAACAACAAGAATCAAACAAGGTGAGGCTGCCTGTATATTAGCTAACCATCCTGCTGCCTGGATTGAAGAGAGTAAGCCCCAATCACTATAACACATGTACCCAACTAGCGGCCCATGCTTTAACCATCACCACTCCAGCAGTCATGAACCACTTTCCTGATTGGTCCTGAGGGTATACTTGTAGAGTATCAGTGTGCTCAGTGTATTCCTCCCTAGCTGCTAGCGTGCAGCCATGCAGTTTGACAGACACAGAGTGCCACCATTTACAGTCCCTCTGCAGAGATGAAACAAAAGCAGGAGGTACCTGTATCTTTGTTGGCTACATTGTATTCTGCATTATTAGCACTCAGTTACACTATGTCGAAGGGAAGCTTCATCACTCATTTAAATGAAGCATTGCCATTTGCAGGTCCACTTTCCTTAGTATGTTTATGTATAAATAACATGTTGCCGAGGTGAATGCTCTTCTGGATTGCAAGTCATTCTGGATAACACACCTACTAATGGATCATTAACCAAGTTTCATAGGCGTCTTCAGCATTTCTTCTGTTTCATCTCTCAGACAGGTCACAGCGATGTCCTCGCCTGGTGTCACTGCGGTGTCTAGTGTGACAAGTTCTTTTATATTTTCTTTTCTTCCTCCACCCTGTTTTGGGATTAGACAAATCTATTTCTTCTCTTCCCTATCAGCTCTGGTTATTATAAGCCTGGTTTCTGCACCCTGAAACCATCAAGCAGTGATTGTGGGCAGTCGGAGGCTCGGATACGCTGACCGTGCTGGAGCACAACTTTCAATCTTAGTACATTAAACACCCCTAATTCATTCCTAAGGCATTTTCCAAACAATCTGCTGATTAGAGACTTAAATTCAAAGTAACAAAAGCTGCTTTGAAGGAAACTTAATGGAAAGTCCAGGAACTTAATTATACTTACAAATATATTATTTGATTAAAACATGTGGATCTCCCATAACCTGACTCAAAGCATGGGGTAGAAACCTCTTTACCTGACTCAAAGCATGTGGCAGAAACCGCTTCACCTGACTCCAAGCATGTCGCAGAAACCTTTTCATCTGACTCACAGCATGGTGTAAATACCTCTTTGCCTGACTCCACGCATGTGGCAGGTAACTCTTCATCTGACTCAAAGCATGGGGCAGACAATCCTTCACCTGACTCAAAGCATGGGGTAGATACCTCTTCACCTGACTCAAATCATGGAGTAGGTACCTCTTTACCTGACTCAAAGCATGGGGTAGATACCTCTTTACCTGATTCAAAGCATGGAGTAGGTACCTCTTTACCTGATTCAAAGCATGGAGTAGGTACCTCTTTACCTGATTCAAAGCATGGAGTACGTGCATCTTTACCTGACTCAAAGCATGGGGTAGATACATCTTTACCTGACTCAAAGCATGGGGTAGATACCTCTTTACCTGACTCAAAGCATGGGGTAGATACCTCTTTACCTGACTCAGAGCATGGGGTAGATACCTCTTTACCTGACTCAAAGCATGGGGTAGATACCTCTTTACCTGACTCAAAGCATGGGGTAGATACCTCTTTACCTGACTCAGAGCATGGGGTAGATACCTCTTTACCTGACTCAGAGCATGGGGTAGATACCTCTTTACCTGACTCAAAGCATGGGGTAGATACCTCTTTACCTGACTCAAACCATGGGGTAGAAACCTCTTCACCTGACTCAGGGCCGGCCTTAGGTAATCAGGCGCCCTGTGCGAACCCAACACGTGGCGCCCCCCCTGCAGCAAAACCCTTGCCCCTTCAACAATAGCCCTGTTCCGCCTACTACAAAACCCTTCCACAAAACCCCTGCCCCCCTTTCTACAAAAACTCTGCCTCCCTTTAATAAAACCCCTGCCCCTTCTACAAAAACCCTGCTCCCCCTTTAATAAAACCCCTGCCCACCGTTCTACAAAATTCCTTCTCCTCCTTTAACAAAACACATGCTATCATTATATATATCTACTATACAGTAATGTACACATAATATCACTAAAAACCTTCCCCCTCCACCAAAACCACTGCCACCCTCTACAAAAGCCCTGCACTCATTCTACATAAACCTCTGCTCTCCTTCTACATAAACCTCTGCTCCCTTATACTAAACCTCTGCTCCCTTATACTAAACCTCTGCTCCCCTTCTATTTAAACCTCTGCTCCTCTTATACTAAACCCCTGCTCCCCTTCTATATAAACCTCTGCTCCCCTTATACTAAACCCCTGCTCCTTTATACTAAACCCCTGCTCCCCTTCTACATAAACCTCTGCTCCCTATACTAACCCCTGCTCCCCCTTATAAACCAAACTCCTGCTCCCCGTATACTAAACCCTCTGCTCCTTTATACTAAACCCCTGCTCCCCTTCTACATAAACCTCTGCTCTCCTTATACTAAACCCCTGCTCCCCTTATACTAAACCCCTGCTCCCCTTATACTAAACTCCTGCTCCCCGTATACTAAACCCCTGCTCCCTTATACTAAACTCCTGCTCCCCTTATACTAAACTCCTGCTCCCCTTCTACATAAACCCCTGCTCCCCTTCTACTAAACCTCTGCTCTCCTTATACTAAACCCCTGCTCCCCAAATACTAAACCCCTGCTCCCTTATACTAAACCCCCTGCTCCCTTATACTAAACCCCTGCCCCTTATACTAAACTCCTGCCCCCTTATACTAAACACCTGACCCCCGTATACTAAACCCCTGCTCCCCTTATACTAAACCCCAGTCCCCCTTATACTAAACTCCTGCCTCCCTTATACTAAACTCCTGCCCCCTCTACAAACCCCCTGCCCCCTCTTCAACAAAACCCATGCTCCCTCCACAAAATCCTTTCCTCTGCCACTTCACCAGAAATGCTTGCCCCCTCTTCTACAAAACCTCTCCCCTACACCAAAACCTCTACCCCCTATTTTACAAAACCCCTAACCCCTTCTATAAAACCTCTGCTCCTCCATAAACCAAAACCCCTGTCCCAAAATCCCAGCTAGAAAACCTCTGCTCTCCCTTCTGCAAATCCCCCCCCCACACACAAAAACACCTGCCACCCTTAAAAAAAAACAAAAAAAAATCTATTTGATAAAAAAATGCAATAGTTATAACAAGAATGAGCAGACTCACATTGAAGCTTGCTGCTCCCTGGCCCCTCCTGACAGTGTCCCAGTTTGCCGACCTTGATACCAAAGCACTGACCACCTCCCTCAAACTGACTGTGTGGATCCTTCCGCGAATGACTGTGGAGGCGGAGCACGCTCTTCCTCCGTGCTCTTGACCTACTTTCTCTCCCGGCCGCTGCTCTCTTCATAATTTGCAAGTCAAGTGCACAGCATTATGCACTTGACTTGCTCTGTACATGACTCGGGCCGAACTGTGAGTGACTGAGTGCGAGATGTGTCAGCCGCCTGGCGCCCCTGTTGCCATGGCGCCCTGTGCGGCCGCACAGCTCGCACACCCCTAAGGCCGGCCCTGACCTGACTCAAAGCATGGGGTAGATACCTCTTCACCTGACTCAAAGCATGGGGTAGATACCTCTTTACCTGACTCAGAGCATGGGGTAGATACCATGGTTTAATTTGCGGCTCATGGTACAAGAAACCGGCAACGGAACAGGAAGGATTTTTTAAAAGGGCGCACTTTACATGGAACACACAAAGGTTAGAAATTAATATTGTGGAATTAAAATCTTTACACGAATAGATTGCAGCACTTAAAATATTTATTCTGTTTCTGAATTAACATTTTGTCAAAGAAATAATCTAAGCACCATACAATTCACTCACTCAGTCTCAGCTTCGAAAGTTCCTTATAACTTCTCTAATTAAAAATAAATAAATCCCACACGGCAAGACAGGCCCTCAGAGCTGACAGTCAGGCAGGCGGATCGCTTAGTTGCAAGCTGCCGAATCTTGCCGACATCATTTTACCCAAGCTGTCCACGTGGCATTCACATGCAGAACTCACACCGACGTCCATTTCTCCCAATGTTGGAGATATGTAATCTGGGACGGGGTGAGAAGCCCTGCCTCAGACAGCAGTTCTGAAGTTCACTGCACAGTGCGAGTCAATCGATTTATCCTGATCTGGGACATTCCTGCAGTGGCCCCCTGTGGGATAGAACCTTGAATGCGGGATGGTCTCGACCAACCTTGGACAGGTGAGAGGTATGTAGGCCTCTCTCATCCCCTGCCGCACTCAGCCCACTGTGAACCACACCTTGTTTAATCTGATAGCAGCTGCCTTTCCACTAGTCCCATGTGAAGAACAGAACAACAGCTGGGAGATAAACTACGTATCCCATAAACCACTGCTGGAGAGGGATTGGGGCGATAAGACCAAACCCCATAGACCAGAATAAGAGGCCTCTTAGTGAGCGAGGGGTCTGCATTAATCTGCAGTCATCTTCTCAGGATCTTGGAACATACATATTTTATTTTAATGTAATACATATATATTTGTTCCTCCCCTTTCCTAGTCCTAAAGCATTTCCTGGTAGCTCCTTGACACGCATTCTGCAAGGCATATTTTGTAACTTGTTGCATTTAAGGTATCATGCAGGCTGCTTGAGCAATATAGCTTAGAAGAAGACCTAAAAGTGCGCGCCATATTGCTCTATCAGTCAGCGTGACACCATAAATTATATTAAAATATTCTGCATGTCAACAGAGCGTGTGCTTATAGGAAGCAATAACTTACACGCCAGTACAATAGTGTCACTTTTTCTAAGCAAAGAGTAATTTTTCTTACACTGCCGCTAACTATTTATTTCCAAGAATCAGCAGAAAACGATATATTTTGAGAACTATTTGCCTGTAGCAAGGCAATAGTAAATATAGCCATAGGAGCCAGTGTTTCAGCGTGGAGGCAGCCATCTTGGAATCACAGAACTCCATTTGAGGCTACAGAAAAGAAGTGTGGACCGCAGCCAATCGGAATCCCAGTGTGCAGGAACGGGGGATGATGCCATGTTCCCAATGTACCCATGGAAGAACAAATTATCGCTTTAATTTTTTTATTTGATCTGTAGTCAGAAAATGCAACAAACAGTTTTGTCTGTAAAGGCCATATTTTTCAGTTTCGAGGCCTCAGGCCTGCGCATGATGGGAGACATTATTGTATCAAAAGAAGGAGATTTACCAAATTAAACCTAATCACCAAACATTATCCAACAGTAAAACGTGTGAAGGTGAATCAGCATACTGGGAAGAAAAGACATGGTTTGCTGGCAGGAATAAGCTTTGGATCAGAGGAATAATGACTAGTATCCGGCAGGTCTGACAACTTTTGGATTGGGGGCAAGTAGAAATGGATGGATTCTTTTGCGTAAAACTCATAGATTTGGGGAAATATCCCAGATGGCCAGTTCAGAATAATATTGTGAGCCGCCAAGCACAAAGTCCTTAGCTACCAACATTCCCAGATTTGCCAGGACAGTCCCACATTTGGGGTTATTGTCCCAGTATTAATAGGTCCTGGGGAATTCTGCATTTTAAAATCCAAGGGCACAAGGACCATGCATAGCGTGCTCCCTGCATGGTCTGCTGGACGGGGCAAGCTGTCAGTAAGCCTGGCCACCCTCTCTAGGGAGCCTAGCCAGGAGGGCTGCACTTTGATGGATCGGCCCCACCGTGCAGCCTGCATTCTTGCCTGCCCACCTCCATCCCAGATGGTGGGGAGGGAAAATTGGCAAGTATGCTTTGAAACCCAAACAGACTACCCACACATGCCCTGCACAATTCCTTTGCTCTGCAGTACTCTGCTAACAAATATCACAGCGCACCTCCCTCTACTTTTAATCAGAAGAAAGCTAATGCTGGGATGCTGTGGGCCACAGCCCCTCTATACTAGTGGCCATGGAGGCAATTTCTCTAACCTCCCCACCCCCCGAACTGCCAGACTTCCCCTGACCTGTACAGTAAGAGCAATTCAATCAGCCTATGTCCAATGGTTCTCTTAGTTCAAAGACAACTATACTGTCCACATGCCAATGGCATTCAGTGGTGGCCAGGGGTAAATCAGAGCTGGATGCAGTCATACATCCCCTTCCTCCGAGATACCATTTTTATTCTATCAGGGAGAAGTGTGCCCAACTTGTACCAGACTCCTCCAGTCCAAAGTATCCAGCTTATGTTTCCAGTAATCTTATAAAAAACTAATTTAAAAAATGAACCTGTAAATAATTTGTCTCTAAAGCTGCTTAGCCCTCAAACAGTAGACCACATGTGCAATCTGTAATGTTTTAAATGATCTTAATCACGTTTCGTCATTTTATTTCATTATCGTATCAACAGCTGAACGAATTCTGGCCCCATGTTTCCTCTCCGTTTCGGACCTCTGTAAAATATTCAATTTTTATTACACGGTGAGGTTTATTCCAGAAACGCTAGAATTTGTGGTCAGCTGGAAAGTAGCCAAGCTGTGACTATTGTAGAGTTTCTCGAGATCAAATTTTTTGCCCAAAGTTTGCAGGTCTATTATCAGTAAATAGTTGAGTGAATATAACTGTGTTTTGCTGTGCTCATTATATCGATGAATTAGCCTCCCAATAAATGAAATCTGTTTGTATTGTCCTGCTCTGCTTTGTTCAATTCATCAAGAATTAAAAAGAAAGTTTTCTTTGCAAAACAAGTTTATGAAAATGCTGATATTTTATATTTAAAGCAATCCTTATCGTTCTAATACATTTAAGATAGAATGCATTAATAAAAGGCAAACATTGTGATTGTGATCCTCGTTGGAAGGAAGTCTTCTCAACAGCTGTGCAAATTTTGGCACCAGAGCCCCTTTTCCGTTCTGCAGTCATTTCCTGTGGCTTTATTAATAGAACACAGTTTGCTTTCATCCCAAGCACAGCCAGAGAAGACAATGGACATTTTGAGAGTAAAAATAGAAGTACAGGGGAAGGGTACACTCACTTAGGGCTTCCAGATCTGCTGTGCTTTCCGGGACAGAAATAACACAAGTCGAAAAATTGCTTCCCTGCAGTAAGTAGCATTCACACGCTGCAGGAGGGAAACAAAATGATCCTTTGGGATCCCTCTGTCAGCAATCAGTCGTTTTCATTCCAGAAGCATGCAAACTCTGCATACTGCAGGGAAGCACTTTTCATTAACTGCCCATCAGCACAAAGAAGAAGTTCTGTTTGTCCAGAAAAAATATTGGTAAATTAAGCAGCTCTAGATCCACCATAACGCCGTTAACGCAAAAAGAATGTGTTCATTTTATATTACGGAGATTTGGCCAAATAAATAAAAGTTGACGTCACATCGCCAGTTGGATTTTTTGATACATCGAGAGCCAATCCGCTGAAACAGCAGTTAATACTGTTATACCAAGACATTGCCTTACGGCAGGAGGACAGTTATTCAGCTGGTGGAGTCCTCGAATATATTAAAGATTCTGAAAAGGGGGCTCCTTGCCCAACAGATGGTTCAGTAATAAAAACTCTTCTCTAAACAAGGAATACAAACAAATGGTTAGATGTTTATTGTCCTCAAAGTCTTGTCTGTGATTAGACATGAGTGATAAAATGTACCGGCTGAATGGCTACATTACTGGATCAAGCAGTGACCTGCATCCCCATTTATATAATAAGTGCATATCAAATCTGCGCTAAGGAAACCAGGGCATGTTATTGAAAATACAGCTTTCCCTCTTATAAACCTACTTTGTTGGAAATGTAAAATGTTCATTAGCATTACCGTATCGTGTAATTTATATCACTTACAGAGCCAATATACAGGCTCTTTTAAATGTGAGTGACCCATTTTTCTTGAAAACAAAAAATTCTAATTTTACCACTATCTAAACTATATTCTATTCTTGTATGTTTTTTATAGACGCACATAATTTGAAGTACTCAGTTTTTTTCGAGATTATAAGGGGTAAGTTACCCAATTCTCTCACAGCTCCCCACTACGGGTACAGGGTTTACTTGTATACGTGCTTTTTGTGTATTACTGACTCGTGGATCAGGGCTGCAACTTCTGATCAATTGATTAACTAAACCGATACGGTGTTATCAACCTTAGCTTTACAGCTATGCTGAATAATCCCAGGGTCATTTACTACAGTGAGAATTCAAAGTGAATTGAAGGTGAATATTAAATCTAAATAGCCAAAATGATCTTATCACCTATGCTTTCATTTCGGCTAATTTAGTAAAGAACAGGGTTATTTACTAAAGTAAGAATATTCACTTTGAATTCTTACTTTAGTAAATAACCCTGTTAGTAATTATCCTTAAAGAAAAATAAACTAATGGGTTGTTGTTTTTTTTTTTACTATAATGTGAATTGTGGAAGATTAACGTGTGACAAAGGAATTGCAAAATTTTGTCCAAAATAGCTGCGGTACAAAAACAGCAGTTTCTTTCCCAATTCAGCTACTGCGGCCTAAAACATGTAATTCTCCACATTTTCCTGATTAAACCCCACTGTCTGCTCACAATCACAGATCTACAGATCATTTGATGCCATGATTCATGTAGCTGTGCATCCCGTTACAGACTATTTATGGATGCTCATTAAAGAACCAAATCGTGCAGTTTGTCAGATCACATGGCAGTCACGATCTCGGGCATATCACTAATCACTTCGAAATATTGCGGCATTTAAAGAATCCTTTTTACTAGTCTGGATTCCACATTCCAGGCAAGTTCTACAAAACAGCCACGGCCCCTGGGGGCAATCACTAGCCAACAGATTGTTGGACTGATAAACATAATCATAAAGGAATAGAATCATATATTAAATAAATAAATAAATAAGACAACTATATTTTACAATCAGGAACATCCCTCACTCCCAGGAATGGGCCATAAATGTATTATTTCACTTTCATGCCGAAAGCTGAACTATTTGTAAATGAAATGTAACTGCGGGTTGTTCCAGTTTCATATTTTTTTCCTGCACAATTCCCCATTACACATAATTTCACAAGTATTTAAGGGATAATAAAAAGTGACAAACTAGGCATAGACACAGACAATATGTCAGTAGGGCTGAATAACAAACCAACAGTGTTTTAAATATCACTGTGCACAAAACGCATTGCTTCAACCAACCGACATTGTAACAGGAGCCTGCACAGCTCATCAGTACAGTGCGCTTTATATATCAAGATATAGACTATTTGTTCTTGGCATATTACAACAGAATGCACCATCCTCTTATATGAATAGTATATTCCTTCACACAATGCTTAAAACAATTTATTTGAAGTATAGAACAGGACGTCAACATCATTTTCATCAGCCATGTGCAAAACCTCTCTATGCCTCCCTTGTGGTTGCCAACCCCTCCCTGCAAGCATTGTATTCCATTTTCTAATTCCTATGTAAACAGATTACTTTTGTTAAATGAAATATAATAATGTATAAAAACACATCACGGAGATAAAAACATGAGGCTAACATTAGAATCCCAGAAACCCAGTGTTAACACATACCAGTACCATCAACAATAACCTTTATATGAAATTGAGTAAAATCAAATTTGAATTGTTGAATTTTTCCATATTATTGAAAAAAAACACAGATATTTTTTTTTAAAGAAAATCTACTTCCTCCTCCTTACAAAACTCTTATTACTTAGGAAATGTCTGAAGCTAAATAATTTACCTTTCGCAGGTCATCCAATCCATACTCCACGGCCGAAGTTAGCACCTCCAGGGTCTGTACACATCAAAAGACATAGTGTGAACCTTTTAACCCTGTAATTACACTTCCAGTAAAACCACCTTAAAATCTGCACCCCTCTTCTAACAAGTTTCCCCCCATAAAAATGTTCTGTGTTTACTTAGCATCCAGCCCTGGCTGTCAATAGCTGCTATGTACTATGATCATCTGCAAAGCTAATGGAATTATGGGATATGCAGTCCAGTACAGGTGAATGCCTAAGGTTTTTAAATGACATCAATCAATTACTATCACCAACAAACGTTCTCTTTAACTTATTTTATTAATGTATTTTAGCGATTACAAGGGGCAGCGAGAGGATTGGTGGACAATATCCCTGTTCCCTCTGGGAATATCTGTCCCATCAACCATTCAAACAATGGGTACAGCTATGGACGGAGATGCGTTTTACAGATACCGCCTTGTTTTTGGATTGTTTTGCACAACATTTTGTATTTGGGGTTCATCTGTTCTGTGCTCCTAACTCTAACTTTCTTAGAATTTTGCTAAAATCTCTGCAGCCCTAAAGTCACATTGTTACACACATTGGATACTTTGTGGAGTTGCATTAACACTATGATTGGAGCTAATCACAAGCTGAAAGCAGCCAACTGTTGCCAGATTGAGCAACAGTTTCAGTCCTGTCTGTGCATGAAGAAAAACAGTGGTCAGTGCTGTACGACACATCCCATTGAAGATATAAACCATTACACAAAGCAAAGCAAGAGCTGATCGCAATCACAGTAATACATCAGTGACTTAACCACTTCCTGGACACAACACCAGACAGGAATAGAAGTTGAGCAACTGAACTGTGGAACATAACAAAACCTTGTGATAAATGGGTCAAACACAAAAGACAATATCCGTGATGTTAAGCAACTTGATGCTGGCTCAGGAAGATTAACCCTGACTGTACCTTCTACATCGTCTTCCATCAGATTCTGCTGCACTGTGCCCGGTCCCCTGGCTTTTTACAGTTTGGCACCTAATTGGGTCCCCTTGCACCTCTGGTCAAGCCCGCTTCTCATTTATTTCTATAATGGAAGATCCCCTTCGCTAACAGATATATCAATTTCAATTTGGACAGATTTTATTGGCCAAGAGTGTCTGTTTATGTTCTGAGCCAATGAATTCCATCAAAACACAGGCAGGTTTGGTGCCACCAATGCAGAAGTAGGGACTTTGGTTTTTGATATTTTAAGAAGAGGCCAGTCCAGGTATGTGTCAAACTGTTCTAAAGCACTTTCTTTGGCTCTTATCGCGGGAATGGCACCAGGGGACTCTAGAAAACACAACCAATAGAGATGGCTATAGTGGTTATAATGCTTAGGCTATCCTTTTAATTAGGGCAACAACACCATCTATTAGTCAACTGTTGGAGTTAATCCATACATGGGCTGATCAGGAATTTATTTTTATCTTTTTGGCATTAAGGATTTTAGGGATCAGTCTGTTTAAGTTAGAGGTTTGTAAGACTAAGGTTTGTAGTGTTTAGGCTTTTTAGGATATAGGGTCCACTGAAGAACTACATCACCAAAGCCCTAATACTTAACCCTTAAACAAGTTTGCATTAACTTAAGAGCATTGAAAATGGCAGCATTGACTGCATGATAAGATGTTCAAAGCCCACAAACATGTTTTAAAAAGCGCTATGTATATATTATATAGGTATCCAATTGGCAAGGTATTAGGATTGTGTAAAAATCTTTAGAATGCACTCACAATGACACTGTTGAGAGTTACACTGTTGGTATAGAGGAACTCCAACACGGCCAGGAAGACATCAGGATTCATGTCTGCCAACACAAACGGAACCTGCAGCTCCTCAGAGGATTTCTTCTCCTTTAACTGATTGAGGAACATGCCATGGAAAACCTTACAACGACTGGCCAAGATGCAGCGATGAGCGTGAATGACCTGCCGTCGTTTTCCTACCACGAATGTGACGTCACTGTAGAGAGAAAAGAGAGAATGTGTCAGCGGACTCATGAAGAAGTCAAGAAATGATCAGCCTTTTACCATTAGCTAGTGCACACTCTTCAGAAACTTAAAAACTTCCTAAAAGACATCTGTTCATAGAACCACCAAACTTCCTTGGAGGCACACAGGTATAAATCCAGCCCAGTGGCGGCCAACTTCTGAGTCCTAGTGGTGGCAAATCACTTATACACTAAGAAAATACCTGGGCATCACGCTATATAAAAAGGCATATGCAGAGTATAGGTTGGGGAACCAGAGCAATAAAACTTAAATATAGGCCTTGCACAAGGAAACCCACAAAAATCAGTAGTTAAAGATCAGTACTTGTAATAGACACTCCTAAGCATTTATTCTTCACTTAAAAACCTTTATAAGTAAATGGGTCTTGGGCCAGCTTGCAATCTAGGAAATAAGCTATAAAAAGAGGAAAGACAAACAAGTGGGATAAGAGGCTCGAGCGAATGTGGACAAGCAGAGCTGGAAGGAGGAGAGTGAAGTTTACTGATTGATTTAATACCTTTTAATATTTTTTTTTGACAAAAAAATTATTATTATTATTTTTTTTTTACAGTTTATACAAAAATATTAACCACCCCCGGGGTAGCCCCCCATATTGAGAATTTTAACAAAAGATTATTCCATTTGTTAGATCTTTGTTAGATCAGGTTTGATCAACTATTTTTTTCGTTAGATCTACTCTAAAATATGCGATATTAACAATCATTGTCAGGGGGGGCTAACCCGTAGCCAGCCCCACCTCAACAAAAATTTGTACAAAATGTTGTTGATTATGATAGTTCTACGTTAGATCAGGTTTGATCAGGCAAAATTTTTGTTAGATCTAACAAAAAAAACAGTTGACCTTACCTGATCTAACGAATATCTACAAAAATCAATAAAAAAAAAATTAAAATTTCACTTGAGGGAGGGCTAACCCGTAGTAACGCCCACAAAGTTAAGTAGTGAATACCGCCTCTTGCGTGATAGATCTAACGAAAAAAACTGTTGACCAAACCTGATCTAACAAGTAGCTACCAGAATCAGTAACATTTTGTCCAAATTTCAGTTGAGGGGGGGCCAGCCCCCCCTAATTATATATGCAATATCTCAGCCTGATTTTGCCTGATCAAACCTGATCTAACGTAGAGCTATCATAATCAACAACATTTTGTACAAATTTTTGTTGAGGGGGGGCTGGCTATGGGTTAGCCCCCCCGACAATGATTGTTAATATCGCATATTTTAGAGTAGATCTAATGAAAAAAAATGTTGATCAAACCTGATCTAACAAAGACCTAACAAATGGAATTACCCGAGGAGGCTATAGGCTTGCCCAAAGAGATGTGTGTTTGGGACTTCCTAAGGGACTGAAGAGTATGAGAAAGTCTGATTGGTACACAGGCTGTACTGCAGGAATGGAGCGGTGCTCGAGAAATCTTTTCAGGGAGAGTAGTACGTACGTAAACCGCGGACAGAAAGACGTCTCCGGCAGAAAAGGTTTGAACCTATGAATCAGTGAATACTTTTAATGAAAGGTTGAAGCATTACGAGTTTTGTATTTAAATGTTAATATTTAGAACTGTATCCCACAAGGTACAGGGACCCAATGTAAAGATTGGCAAAGGGAGAGGTGCAAGAGGAGGGATCTGAGATGAAAATAAACCGGTTAACAGCAATCGTTACGGACTGCAGAAATACATGATACATAGTCACCAACCAACAGATCTACTTACCTGAATACTGCCAGAAGACTTCGGATTATAGATTGGCCCATACAACATCTGATGGCATCAAGCATGCATATACCCACATATCATGTCAGATTTTTATTTTTGAAATACAGATAAATAAGAGGAAATAATGAAAATAAATTGGAACCGATACAATCTTGCTGTCATTCATGACATTTTTGCATGACTTATTGTCAGGATGTAACTGACCCTCGCCTGTGCAGTAAAGGTTGGAATCTACAAAGAAAGATTTGACAGATGAGAAAGATGGATAGTGACATTGAGACAAGTTAATGGTCCTTACGAAACAACAGTCATGGCTGAACAACATGCCTCTGAGGAGGGAAAAAAAAAGAGCGTCAGCGAGAATACTAGCCAAGGGAAGGGAATCAAGAAGACATGAACTTGAAAAGATGGCCAGGTCAGGGGAACACTAGAAAGCTAATCAAAGCAGACACAAGAGCCAAGGTCAAAACTAAAATCAATCAATCACAGAAACCAGGAATTCACTAAATGGCTACCAAAACCCACAAAAAGCCACGTGAGTAGTATGGAAGTCACATATCTCACAACTGTTACTTTTTCGTAAGGACAGTCCCTATTTTGGGCCCAAATCCCTCTGTACTCTTTTTCTATCCTAATGCGCTCCATATTGTTGGTGTGTCTGAGTGTATAACAGAGCTCCACATCAATAATACTCAGTAATGTGTCTGAGTGTATAACAGAGCTCCACAGTAATAATACTCCCAGTAATGTGTCTGAGTGTATAACAGAGCTCCACATCAATAATACTCCCAGTAATGTGTCTGAGTGTATAACAGAGCTCCACATCAATAATACTCCCAGTAATGTGTCTGGGTGTATAACAGAGCTCCACAGCAATAATACTCCTAGTAATGTGTCTGAGTGTATAACAGAGCTCCACATCAATTATACTCCTAGTAATGTGTCTGAGTGTATTACAGAGCTCCACATCAATAATACTCCCAGCAATGTGTCTGAGTGTATAACAGAGCTCCACAGTAATAATACTCCCAGTAATGTGTCTGGGTGTATAACAGAGCTCCACAGCAATAATACTCCCAGTAATGTGTTTGGGTGTATAACAGAGCTCCACAGCAATAATACTCCTAGTAATGTGTCTGAGTGTATAACAGAGCTCCACAGCAATAATATTCCCAGTAATGTGTCTGGGTGTATAACAGAGCTCCACAGACATAATACTCCCAGTAATGTGTCTGAGTGTATAACAGAGCTCCACAGCAATAATACTCCCAGTAATGTGTCTGAGTGTATAACAGAGCTCCACAGCAATAATACTTCCAGTAATGTGTCTGGGTGTATACCAGAGCTCCACAGCAATAATACTCCCAGTAATTTGTCTGGGTGTATAACAGAGCTCCACAGCAATAATACTCCCAGTAATGTGTCTGAGTGTATAACAGAGCTCCACAGCAATAATACTCCCAGTAATGTGTCTGAGGGTATAACAGAGCTCCACAGCAATAATACTCCCAGTAATGTGTCTGAGTGTATAACAGAGCTCCACGGCAATAATACTCCCAGTAATGTGTCTGCGTGTATAACAGAGCTCCACAGCAATAATACTCCAGTAATGTGTCTGAGTGTATAACAGAGCTCCACAGCAATAATACTCCCAGTAATGTGTCTGAGTGTATAACAGAGCTCCACAGCAATAATATTCCCAGTAATGTGTCTGAGTGTATAACAGATCTCCACATCAATAATACTCCCAGTAATGTTTCTGAGTGTATAACAGAGCTCCACAGTAATAACACTCCCAGTAATGTGTCTGAGTGTATAACAGAGCTCCACAGCAATAATACTCCCAGTAATGTGTCTGAGTGTATAACAGAGCCCACAGCAATAATACTCCTAGTAATGTGTCTGAGTGTATAACAGAGCTCCACAGCAATAATACTCCCAGTAATGTGTCTGAGTGTATAACAGAGCTCCACAGCAATAATACTCCCAGTAATGTGTCTGAGTGTATAACAGAGCTCCACATCAATAATACTCCCAGTAATGTGTCTGAGTGTATAACAGTGCTCCACAGCAATAATACACCCAGTAATGTGTCTGAGTGCATAACAGAGCTCCACAGCAATAATACTCCCAGTAATGTGTCTGAGTGTATAACAGAGCTCCACAGCAATAATACACCCAGTAATGTGTCTGAGTGCATAACAGAGCTCCACAGCAATAATACTCCCAGTAATGTGTCTGAGTGTATAACAGAGCTCCACAGCAATAATACTCCCAGCAATGTGTCTGAGTGTATAACAGAGCTCCATAGCAATAATACTCCCAGTAATGTGTCTGAGTGTATAACAGAACTCCACATCAATAATACTCCCAGCAATGTGTGTGAGTGTATCACAGAGCTCCACAGCAATAATACTCCCAGCAATGTGTCTGAGTGTATAACAGAGCTCCACAGCAATAATACTCCCAGTAATGTGGCTGAGTGTATAACAGAGCTCAACAGCAATAATACTCCCAGTAATGTGTCCGAGTGTATAACAGAGCTCAACAGCAATAATACTCCCAGTAATGTGTCCGAGTGTATAACAGAGCTCCACATCAATAATACTCCCAGTAATGTGTCTGAGTGTATAACAGAGCTGCACAGCAATAATACTCCCAGTAATGTGTCTCAGTGTATAACGAAGCCCCACAGCAATAATACTCCCAGTAATGTGTCTCAGTGTATAACGAAGCCCCACAGCAATAATACTCCCAGTAATGTGTCTGAGTGTATAACAGAGCTCCACAGCAATAATACTCCCAGCAATGTGTCTGAGTGTATAACAGAGCTCCACAGCAATAATACTCCCAGTAATGTGTCTGAGTGTATAACAGAGCTCCACAGCAATAATATTCCCAGTAATGTGTCTGAGTGTATAACAGAGCTCCACAGCAATAATACTCCCAGTAATGTGTCTGAGTGTATAACAGAGCTCCACAGCTATAATACTCCCAGTAATGTGTCTGAGTGTATAACAGAGCTCCACAGCTATAATACTCCCAGTAATGTGTCTGAGTGTATGACAGAGCTCCACAGTAATAATACTCCCAGTAATGTGTCTGAGTGTATGACAGAGCCCCACAGCAATAATACTCCCAGTAATGTGTCTGAGTGTATCACAGAGCTCCACAGCAATAATACTCCCAGTAATGTGTCTGAGTGTATAACAGAGCCCCACAGCAATAATACTCCCAGTAATGTGTCTGAGTGTATAACAGAGCTCCACAGCAATAATACTCCCAGGAATGTGTCTGAGTGTATAACAGAGCTCCAAAGCAATAATACTCCCAGTAATGTGTCTGAGTGTATAACAGAGCTCCACAGCAATAATACTCCCAGTAATGTGTCTGAGTGTATAACAGAGCTCCACAGCAATAATACTCCCAGTAAGGTGTCTGAGTGTATAACAGAGCTCCACAGCAATAATACTCCCAGTAAGGTGTCTGAGTGTATAACAGAGCTCCACAGTAATAATACTCCCAGTAATGTGTCTGAGTGTATAACAGAGCTCCACAGCAATAATACTCCCAGTAATGTGTCTGAGTGTATAACAGAGCTCCACAGCAATAATACTCCCAGGAATGTGTCTGAGTGTATAACAGAGCTCCAAAGCAATAATACTCCCAGTAAGGTGTCTGAGTGTATAACAGAGCGCCACAGCAATAATACTCCCAGTAATGTGTCTGAGTGTATAACAGAGCTCCACAGCAATAATACTCCCAGTAATGTGTCTGAGTGTATAACAGAGCTCCACAGCAATAATACTCCCAGTAATGTGTCTGAGTGTATAACAGAGCTCCACAGCAATAATACTCCCAGTAATGTGTCTGAGTGTATAACAGAGCTCCACAGCAATAATACTCCCAGTAATGTGTCTGAGTGTATAACAGAGCCCACAGCAATAATACTCCCAGTAATGTGTCTGAGTGTATAACAGAGCTTCACAGCAATAATACTCCTAGTAATGTGTCTGAGTGTATAACAGAGCTCCACAGCAATAATACTCCCAGTAATGTGTCTGAGTGTATAACAGAGCTCCACAGTAATAATACTCCCAGTAATGTGTCTGAGTGTATCACAGTTATCGGATTGACAGCCGGGAGGGTGTCCCAGTTTTCGGGTGATGTCCCATGATCAGGACTTTGTTCTCTGTGTTCCCTCTTTTGAGGTCACCAGAGAACTATCCTCAACAAACATAGCCTAAAAGCATTAGCACCCTGCAGAGAGAGTTGAAACAGTGCCACCAGTGGGACGGCCTGTGTGATGGACAGGTAGCCTGGGGTGCATGCAATGCCTAGCTGACCTGCCAATCCTTTGGTTAGACCCACACCATTTGGCAGCACCAGTGACTATTGCATTATTGAACTGCCCCCTTTCAGCCTTTCACCCCAGCCACAATGCGCAAGACGCCAGGATGGTTAATTTACAAGAATTAAATTTAAAGAATTTCATTGCAAATTAAAGGGGACCATACCTTCATGTATGGTCCCTTTTAATAGTATAGTGGTTTAATAGTATAGTGGTTTAATAGTATAGTGGTTCATTAGTATAGTGGTTTAATAGTATAGTGTTTTAATAGTATAGGGGTTTAATAGTATAGGGGTTTAATAGTATAGGGGTTCATTAGTATAGTGGTTTATTAGTATAGTGGTTTATTAGTATAGTGGTTTAATAGTATAGTGGTTTAATAGTATAGTTGTTTAATAGTATAGTTGTTTAATAGTATAGTGGTTTAATAGTATAGTTGTTTAATAGTATAGTTGTTTAATAGTATAGTGGTTTAATAGTATAGTGGTTTAATAGTATAGTGGTTCATTAGTATAGTGGTTCATTAGTATAGTGGTTTAATCGTATAGTGGTTTAATAGTATAGTGGTTTAATAGTATAGTGGTTTAATAGTATAGTGGTTCATTAGTATAGTGGTTTAATAGTATAGTGGTTTAATAGTATAGTTGTTCATTAGTATAGTGGTTTAACAGTATAGGGGTTTAATAGTATAGGGGTTTAATAGTATAGGGGTTTAATAGTATAGGGGTTCATTAGTATAGTTGTTTAATAGTATAGGGGTTCATTAGTATAGTGGTTTATTAGTATAGTGGTTTAATAGTATAGTGGTTTAATAGTATAGGGGTTCATTAGTATAGTGGTTTATTAGTATAGTGGTTTAATAGTATAGTGGTTTAATAGTATAGTGGTTCATTAGTATAGTGGTTTAATAGTATAGTGGTTTAATAGTATAGTGTTTTAATAGTATAGGGGTTTAATAGTATAGGGGTTTAATAGTATAGGGGTTCATTAGTATAGTGGTTTATTAGTATAGTGGTTTATTAGTATAGTGGTTTAATAGTATAGTGGTTTAATAGTATAGTTGTTTAATAGTATAGTGGTTTAATAGTATAGTTGTTTAATAGTATAGTTGTTTAATAGTATAGTGGTTTAATAGTATAGTGGTTCATTAGTATAGTGGTTCATTAGTATAGTGGTTTAATCGTATAGTGGTTTAATAGTATAGTGGTTTAATAGTATAGTGGTTTAATAGTATAGTGGTTCATTAGTATAGTGGTTTAATAGTATAGTGGTTTAATAGTATAGTTGTTCATTAGTATAGTGGTTTAATAGTATAGGGGTTTAATAGTATAGGGGTTTAATAGTATAGGGGTTTAATAGTATAGGGGTTTAATAGTATAGGGGTTCATTAGTATAGTTGTTTAATAGTATAGGGGTTCATTAGTATAGTGGTTTATTAGTATAGTGGTTTAATAGTATAGTGGTTTAATAGTATAGGGGTTCATTAGTATAGTGGTTTATTAGTATAGTGGTTTAATAGTATAGTGGTTTAATAGTATAGTGGTTCATTAGTATAGTGGTATAGTGGTGTCAGTTTATTATTTCGTCTATAAGAATCTGCCAGCTTGCAGAGTGCCTTACGGCCTCCTAATTAAGCGGACACCAATAATTCCATATTATTATTATTATTATTATTATTATTATTAATATTTATAAAGCGCCAACAAGTTCTGTATCGCCGTACAATGGGATGCGATCTGCACTGTAAAAATTGTGACTGTATCCGTGTCAGCTCTATCTTTTCCCCCATCATCGTCTTGGCTTATCTCCCCTCTGCTCTGTCGTATACGATCGAGGCAGAATGCAAAAATGGCAAAGCCAGGGGTTCAGAAATGACTATGGCAGCGAAAACTATAATAAAGTCTAATGATATAACCAGGAAGGATCCATTTAATTTTTGCTAGTTTCCAGGTACTACGTGTATACGAGATGGACAGAAAGGCGCAGCTCCCACAAACTGAAACTGTGGTTTTAACAGGTTCTTATTGTTTAGGTTCACTGTCCGTTGAATAGTGTTGTGCAACAAGATAAGATCTTGATAGTTTCAATGAGAAGAGGAAGATTGTATCTTTTAAAAAACAATACAACTTGCACAACTGTCGGTTAGACTCAGGACTGAAACATTTTTAAGTTTATGAAAAGTAACACTTTTTAAGGCAAAATATCTGGAACTAATATAACAAAATCAACAAGTCAGCTCTGTTAACAAAGCGGAGTTCGGGTATGAAACATTACTCTGGGCAGTCCTGAAGAAAGTGCAAATTCAACCTCACAATGTTCTATTTAAGCTCGTCAGTTTGTGTTTGTGCCCACGCGTTTCTAGGTAATTTATACAGCAGTGGCTACATCACATCTTACCACAGTAACCTGGCATTTCACTGCTCACCAGCACATGAGAACACACACACACACACACACACAAACACACACACACTAAGCAAATGTAAAAGACGGTGATAGTTTATAAGGTTACATGTTTCAAGTTATTATTTGAATATGGTAAATTATTGTGAGAACTTGTACGTCTAGAAATCACTTTAAGTAATTATAATAATACACTAAGTTGTAATATCACAGGCACTAGAGGATCTGAGACAGCACTGAGTTTTAAGCTCTATATAACCGCTCCTGCAGCTTTGCTATTAAGGATAACTGGATGTCCCGGCGTAATACCCCAACACGCAGAGTGCAGGACAGCAAGGGACAAGACAGGGAAATAACATATAACCGGGCCTTAGAATGGCCGGACTTAACGTAGGACAGAGAAAAAGCGTAGTCAGTAACGAGGTGAGGGTAACGGAGAGACTGCGAAAACGAGAACTGGCCAGAGTCAGGTACATGGTAATCAGTCAGACAGGCAAACAATACAGGAAAGGGTTAAAGATAAACGCAGAGTCAGAATGAAGCCCAGGTCAATACAAGTACAATAATACAAGAGAACAAGGAACGCACTAAAGGGTCCTGGGACAGAAACCACAATAGGGCACATTATACAGGACCAGGGGTGTTTAAATAACGTTATCTGTGATTGGTCCACGTCGCGCCTGCGCCCCCAAACAACGCGCAGAATAAGTAACGCTACACTGGATAACAGAGCACTCTAGCCAAGGCTCCTGGTACTTACCCCTCCCCACCAGCCTATTTAAAGGAACACTATAGTCACCAAAACGTATATAGTGTCTATAGTCTGTCCCTGCAGTGGTAGCACTGTAAATACGGCATTTTCAGGGATAAGGTAGTATTTATATTGCTGCCTAGTGGCACCTCTAGGTGCAGTTACTCAGATGGCCACTAGAGGTGCTTCCTAGTCCAGCGTCTCCACACTTAGAGATGCACTGATTCACTGTGTCTCTGTGAGGAAATGCTGCATTTTGTATTATTGTCCTCGCTTTGTCTTTCATTTATAATGTCTCTGCACCCCATAACTCGGCTCACTTCCTGGAATACCTGATTTCTCTGTTCTCGTTACTCTTACTATTTCACCTTCTATAATCATACCATTAAACCGTGTCTGTCCATAGCTTCCCATAGAGGACACTGGATTGGCGAATTGCACAGCATGTCATGAGAAGCATTCAATTGGCCATCACTAACAAGAACGTTCATATTGCGCCAATAAGGATGCATTTCAGCGCAGCTATAGAAACACGGTTATAATAATGCATTGTTTGCCTTTTTTTTTTGCATTTAAATGTTTTTTTTTTTAAGTTAAAGTAAAAGCAGTTTTCTCAAGCGGTTGGAAGCTGCAGGCTTGAAAGTCTATCACACGCAGAGTTTTCCACCAGCTCTGCAAATCATGATATTTACAGCTCCCTTTTTAGACTCCGGTTTCACAGAAATCTAACCACAAGTATGATTGCAGTGAGGATGAGAATGGCAGGCTAGTGAGACATTATTAACTCCTTCCACACATCTCTCCCTCACACTGACTTCACAGTTATTATTTTTATTATTATTTTATTATTTATATAGCGCCATCAGATTCCGTAGCGCTGTACAATGGGACAGTAAATGTGTTATTAAATAAACTTTTGTTTATATAAAATAATTATTCTATATGTGAGTTTTCATTTTATTTTTTAATAAAGGGCAAAGAAGGTTTTAAAAAGTAACTTAAAAGGGACACTCCAAGCACCATAACCACTACAGCCCCTTGTATCATTACAATTAATTGTATTATTACAGATCATGGTATCATTACGTCTTATTATATAATCACAGCTCATTATAGTATTACAGCTCATTGTGTCCAATAACAACTCCTTATATCACTACAGCTCACTGTATTATTACAGCTCTGTGTATCATTACAGCTTATTGTATTATTACAGCCCCTTGTATCATTACAATCAATTGTATTATTACAGCTCATTGTATCACTACAGCTCACTGTATTATTACAGCTCCTTGTATCATTACATCTCCTTGCATCATTACAGCTCATTGTGTCATTACAACTCATTGCATCATTACAGCTCATTGCATCATTACAGCTTATTATATTATTACAGCTCAACCACCAGGGAACTGTCCACAGAAAGCATATTTGGATGTGCCTGTGCTGTACGAATTGCCCGTTGAGCACGTAAACAGGGCACTAAGTGTATTAATCCCACGGGCAGAGTACTTCAAAAGGACACTCAGGGCATAGAGCACACGGACAGAGCGCTTCAACAGGTCACTCAGGGCACAAAGCCCACCGATAGAGCATTTTAACAGGGCACTGAGCCCACAGACAAAGCTCTTTAACGGGGCACTTAAGGCATAGAGCCCGTGTGCATTCACACCAGACGGACACATTCCTTTTTTAAATGGCGCTACACCCTTATCGCGTGGGCCCACTCCCTTGGGGACTTCAGCAGTCACGTAACTGCAATACAAGTTGTTTCATACCTCCTAGTGCTGGGAGATATGTTGTTATTAAAGCATGCTGTATCATTAAACATTTCTGTAGTAGTTATGGTGCAGATAATTATTATTATTATTATGATATTTATAGAGCGCCGTCAAATTCCACAGCGCTTTACAATGGGTGGATGAACAGACATGTATTTGTAACCAGACAAGTTGGACACACAGGAACAGAGGGGTTGAGGGCCCTGCTCAATGAGCTTACATGCTAGAGGGAGTGGGGTAAAATGACACAAAAAGGTAAGGATAGTATTAGACTAGTGACAGTTGCAGAAGAGGAATCAGTCAGGAGCTATTAACAGTTTAATTGATACGCTTTTATGAAGAAGTGGGTTTTTAACGATTTTTTGAAGGAGTGGAGACTGGGTGAGCATCTAACGGAGGAGGGAAGCGAGTTCCACAGGAACGGTGCAGCCATCGAGAAATATTGAAGGCGAGCATCAGAGGTGGGAGTACGGACAGAAGATAGACGTAAGTCTTCAGCAGATCGTAAGGGCCTAGACGGGACATACTTGTGTATAAGGGAGGATAGATAGGTGGGAGCAGCATTATGTGGAGATTTGAAAGCAAGAACCAGAATTTTAAATTGAGCTCTATATTTTATAGGAAGCCAATGTAGGGACAGACAGAAGGGTGAGGCATGGCAGGTGCGGGCGGACAGGAAGATGTGCCTCGCCGCCGCATTCATTATGGACTGTAACGGCGCTAGTTGGGAGCACGTAAGACCACTGAGAAGCGGATTACTTTAGTCAAGGCGAGAAAGGACAGTGGAATGGACCAACACCTTAGTCACATCTGGCGTTAAGTAGGGGCGGATGCGCGCAATGTTTTTGAGATTGAAATGACAGGATTTGGCGATAGATTGAACATGATGCTTGAAGGAGAGGTTTGAGTCAAAGAGAACACCTAGGCAGCGAGCCTGCGTGGTGGAGCTGATGGTAGCACCGTTGACTTGGAGGGAGGGAGACACAGGAGTAACAACACTTGAGGGAGGAAAGACCAGAATTTCAGTTTTGGTCAAATTTAGTTTAAGGAAGTGGGCAGCCATCCAGTTAGAAACAGCAGAGAGGCAGTCAGAGACACTAGTCAAGAGGGACGGGGAGAGATCAGGAGAGGACAGGTAGATTTGCGTGTCATCTGCATAGAAATGATATTGGAAGCCAAAGGAGCTAATGAGTTTACCAAGGGAGGCAGTATAGATGGAGAACAGTAGGGGACCAAGGACTGAACCTTGGGGGACACCAACAGAGAGGAGTTGGGGAGAAGAAGCAGAGCCAGAGAAAGAAACACTGAAAGAGCGCTGGGAGAGGTAGGAGGAGCACCAGGAGAGAGCAGTATCTTGTAGACCGATATTGCGGAGGATGAGAAGAAGCTGTTGATGATCAACAGTGTCAAAAGCCGCAGACAGGTCAAGGAGAATTAGGATAGAGTAGTGACCACAAGATTTTGCAGTAAGTAGATCATTGGATACTTTGGTCAGTGCCCTATGATCTGACATACCATTTGTTTAGTGGTAGGTTTTGTCAGCACTCAAATTCAGGCCTTTATCTTACCACTGAAGGGAAGGGGTCCGCCTGAATTTCTGGCAGAAGGGAGGGGGTCCGCCTGAATTAATGCATACCACACCGACTGCCAATCAAGAATGTCAGACCACTGAGGGCAGACCCTGCAGTGAGCACTGATTAAGTACTCTGCATTGTTCTTTACCCTGAGTGCAGGCAACTGTCCCCGAAATCAGGTCACCAGGGAACAAAGTTGAGACAGGACCCGAATATTGGGACTCTCCAACCGAAAGTTGGATGGTTGGGAGTCACGGATTAGGACGGCAATGTTAGGGTTGGTTTAACCCAGCACTCTCAGCCATTCTTCCCCTTGGCCATACAGATACTTATCTGGAATGTAATCATATGACATGTGCACTCATAATAAAATACAGACCTCCTCTTAGATTTTGATAAATAAACAAAAAAAAGGGTGTGATTAGTACAGTGGCTTCCAATACACTTCATATACAGCAGTTTTAGTATTTTCATGAGCGATACTGCGGCTGATTCCTGAAATTTTGTTGGAAATTTTATCTCCAATAAGGCTATCTTGTTTAAATGTAACATTTCACTACACACTGAACAAACCCTTGTGTGGGATTTTGACATCTTATGAAAAAGAAGACTGCATGCACCATAACTACTTCAAATAATTGAAGTAATTATGGTGCATTGAGCCCACGAGCACTAGGTCCTGCATCAATGTTAAATAATTTCCTCAACGTTCAGCAGTGATGCTCAGTCTCAGGCAGGCTGCAGCCCGGCCCCCAATAATAAAATGACGGAGCAGTGTTATCCTCCACTGAGTGCGTCAGCTAAGCGCGCTAACCCTCTCAATGCCTCCAATCCGTGATATTGGTATGGTATGAGACAAGTTACAACTCACAATATATTTCTGCTGCAGCCTGCAGCACAAACTAAACAGTTTAACAGTGATGCAAGACCCGGTGCCCATTGACTCAAGGCACCATAAGCACTTCAATCAGTTTAAGTGGTTATGGTACTTGCAGCGTTTCTTTAATATCAGTGTGTCCAGATTTGTAGAAATTAATATAAATATAATTTAAAAAAAATAGTTTCCATACTTACCCTTATTTTATTTTCATATGGGTAAGCGTGATGCTGCCATGTATAATGGCCCAGGAAAATAAAATAAATAAACGGTGCTTTGGCCAGTTGAGCCTGAATTCTGCAATTTTTAATTCGCCACCAATCTCAGTTTCATGCGTAAACTCTATATCTCGCCATGTTGAGTTTGTTGTTCAATGTTCATAAGACGGGTAAATAAACTCACAAAGAAAAACAAAGACACGGATATTTTTAAAATGAACAGAAATAGATTTACTACTATTAGCTTGTAACACTGTCGCCATGCATTAAATATAAATAGCTCCCGTCTCTATAAATGGGCGTAAATTCAACCAATTTTCTAAATATATTGAAATCACATTTAGTTTTCCATAGACAGTAAATTGAATTTTAGAGAATTGTTTCCAAGTTACGGTGTTTTTTGAGCATAAATCCTTCTCTATACCATTTACGTCAATGCAAGGTCTGCCATCAGCTATTTACTGGTAAATGGAAAGCTTTGTACTGTAGTAATGTCTAGAATGGAAGGGATTTAAAGGGACACTCCACTGCCCAAATACACACAAAAAATAATCACTGTTTAGTGAATAAACGCCCAATGAAAGCATGCACGCATTTAAATAGACATTATTTCATTGGGGTATGTGTAAAAGAAGGACCTCTTTGTAAGCTCTACCCTTTCTCAACATTAAAACTAAACCCGAATTCTGTATCAACACCAACATGTAAATTTCTGGTACGAAATGCAAATCCATGTTCCCTGACGTAAGAAGTCATCAGTTAGTAAAGGCAACCCAGAACAAATTATTTGCATTCCATACAGCAGGAACCATTAAAGAAGGAAAAGAAATTAAAGGGACACTGTAGGCACCCAGAACACTTCAGCTCATTGAAGTGGTCTGGGTGCAAACTCCCATCACCCTTAACCCTGCAGTGGTAATTATAAACTCTGAGGGTTAACTCCTCCTCTACTGGTTGTCTACCACACAGCCACTAGAGGGACTTCTGGTCCTTTATCTGACACTGGATATCCTCACACTCTGCATGACGACTTCCAGCGTCAGATTTTCTCCATAGGAAAGCATTGAATAATGATTTCCTATGGGGAGATCCTAATGCGAGCACGGCCATTGCCGCGCATTAGTTCTCCTCCGCCGAAGTCCGCCGTATTCAATGCACTATAGTTTCCCTTAAGGGGAACATCCATTTCAATAAATAGTACAGATAGAGGTTTGTGAGCAAGCAGCACGTACTGTTACAGAGAGTCAGGTGCACTCTTGAACTTTTCTGGGTTTTAAAACTCTCTGTAATGATAATGGTGCCAGGAGTGTCCTGCTGCCCTCCCAGTATTTAGGTCCTGCAGGGCACTAATAGCCGCATAATCCGCTACTGATTCTCCTTCCAGCCCCCACTCAGCTGGGCCATGATTAAAGGCTGGGAGGAGCGTAGTCTGAGTGCTCTCCGTAACTAGGCGCAGTCCTGGGTCAGCTGCGCTTAGCTCTGTGAAGACACCTGGCCTCTCCCGCAGGAGAAGACCAGATGCTGTGCAGGGACCTGTCGGGATCCAGGTAAGTTGTCAAACCGTTCTAAAATGGCTTGACAAATTTCAATGGGAGGGCGCCAGGGCACTCATAGCACCATAACCACTACAGCAGGTTGTTCCTTTAATTCAAATCATCAAAAACAACTATCTTCAAAAATATACCTTTTCAGAAACACATTAAAGGCTTACTCCAACTCCTTTAAATGATATATATATATTTAATTTAGAATGCCCTATTGGTCTTTAGTAATTAAAGGGACACTCCAGGCACCCAGACCACTTCTGCCCATTGGAGTGGTCTGGGTGCCAACTCCCACTACTCTTAACCCTGCAACTGTAATTATTGCAGTTTTCATAAACTGCAATAATTATCTTGCAGGGTTAACTCCTCCTCTAGTGGCTGTCTACTAGACAGCCACTAGAGGGCACTTCCTGATTCATAGCAAAGATTTTCTGTGCTAGAGCATCGCTCGACGTCCTCACGCTGTGTGAGGACCTCCATCGTTGCTCAATTCCCCATAGGAAAGCATTGAAAATTTTTTTCAATGCTTTCCTATGGGGAGACCTAATGCGCATGCGCGGCATTGCCGCGCATGCGCATTAGGTTTCCTCAGCCGGAGGGCGGGATCAGTCTCGCCCACCGGCTGACGTGATTACTGGGAGGAGCGACGCCGACCCGAAACCACCGCCAAAGGACATTGGCGGGGTCTCCGGTATATTACATAGTTACATAGCTGAAAAGAGAAAAGTTTTCACCCCTTCAGCTTTCAGCTACCTGAGTTGGGGGTGGGAGGGAAAGGGGACCTGCAGTGCCAGGAAAACAGATTGTTTTCCTGGCACTGGAATTTTCCTTTAAAACTATATAAAATAAAGTGTAAACTTATCTGTACTGCGACGCAGGGCAAGGCCCCCTTTACTGGATTCAACAGCCTGTCCTATGTCTGGCATGCGCGCACTCTGGGCCGGGGAGGAAGGCAGTGGGGGGCAGATGGCGGGGGTGGAAAAAATGAGCAGTATAAGGGAGCTGAGACTGAGGAGATGGTAAATAAATGAAGGGAGGGAGATCTGTCTATTGCCAGTGTGCTGTGCGCGGTGACGACAGACATACTTTTTGCACATAATTCATATTATGAGCCTGTAACAGTATACACGGCTACTAAGTCACGTGTGCCAGGGGTGTAACTAGCCGCTGGCACAAAAGTGCAAATATCTCTGAATGTGATATTTGTTTATGCAGAAATGCTGCACAGACTCCTTCCACAATGACCACTTCTAAAAGCAGAAGTGGTCATGGTGGTTGGAGTAACTCTTTCAGCTCCATAAGCACTAAAGCTTATAGTATCAACAAAGCATATTCTATCATTATGGCTTTTTTGCTAAATTGCAGCTTATTTTTTCATTATAACCTATTGTTATTATTGTATTATTACAGTTTGTTGTATCATTAAACTTATTGTATCATTAAAGCCTATTGTATTACTACAGTGTATTGCATCATTATATACTATTATTATTATTATTAATATTATTATAATTACAGCATACTGCAGTGAGATGAATATGGTGCAAGGCATTTGGATGTAGCCCATTCTTCATTTTAAAGGGAAACTCCACTGCCCAAATATAAAATAAATTTTTTTTAAATCATTGTTTAGTAGATATACCCCAAATGAAAACTTGTATGTATTTTTTTTCCAATGAGGGTATATCTAAAAATGGCTTGCAAAACTGCAGATCTCTTATCTGCAGCCTTTGCAAGCCCTCCCCTTCTAACCCCGCCCAGACTTTCTGTGGCTGTCCAATCACAGACTTCCCAATGTAGCTCAATGAGAAGTCTTTGCAAGGCAGGTGCTCGAGGCAATTGCTGCCTCTTGAGTTTAGCATCACTGAGCTAAACAAGCCAGGAAGTAACATGGCCGGGTGTCTGATTGACAGCCAGTGGGTGTAACCAGGTCAACCAACTTTGCATCTTCTACAATCAGGGCTGGACTGGCCCACCAGGATACCGGGAAATTTCCCAGTAGGCCGCGGGGGGGCTGCATGTAAAGAGGGAGCCCTGCTCCCTATATTTTAATAATATCGTGGCCGCCAGCGGCACACTCACTGATACTGACAGCAGCATAGCTGTCAGCACAGGAGGACTGAGGGAGGGGGCGGAGCTAACTACCATGCTCCCAAGGTCCGTCACTCGTCGTTAAGGGTTTCCCCTGAGTGACGGACCTTGTCCGTCACTCGTCATTAAGGGGTTAATAGGCCAAAGTAGTTTTACTGAAACATTGATTACATGCAAATGTACGTCTACTTAAAATAAAGGTGCTCTTTTGTTTATTTTGAACGCATATATGCGTTCTTTCGTTGGAGTAAGAGTTTTCAATTTCAAGTTATTTTTTCACCCTCTATATCAGCACACTGTGCTGGCGCGTCGCATTACTGGGCTGGTATAGAATTCCGAGCACAAGTTAAAAGGCCATTAGGCCTGAATTTGTGGGAGGAGTTAAGGCCCCTACTTAAACCCCTAGCCCCTACTCACCTTTGCCATGCAAGCTGATTGACGCCACCCACCTACACATTCTCATTTCACCTTGGTGGGCCCTCTATATTACAGGCCTACTCGTCCGTTGGTTTCGGCACACCTCAACCAACTTTGCATCTTCTACAATCCATAACCTATTGAAATTCCGAGCACAAATAAAGCTTTTCATCAAACTAAAGTTCTTCAGGGGTCTGGAGTGTCCCTTTAAGCCATTTTTGATTAACTTAAATCCATATTCCTGCCCCTCTACTGACATTGCTATAAGGAGGGATTTAGGGAGTTATAGATTAGTAACATCTGGGGGGGACAGAGTTTGAGGTGTCTGCTACAGGCAGAGGCTGGAGGCTTCATGCAGTTTAGAAGATGTGTAGAACGGTCTGTGCAAACATCAATATTTTGTTTGCCCGAGATTAGTGTGATTTACCAGCCCGCCAGTGGCGTACCTGTCACTGCAGGGGGCCCGGCCACAGCCACGACTCCTGCGACCGTGGGCCGCCTAGATGCCGCCCCCTCCGTGTTCCCTCTGTCATAGGGGGGCCCAAAAAGTGGCCAGCTGGCCACCTAATGGGCCCCCACACGGGCGGCAGAGTTCCTGTCAGACGCGGCGAGGGAGCTGTGTTCTCTCTGCTCTGCTCCCTCGTGCGCCGTTTTCTGATGCCGGAATATGACGTCATATTCCGCTCCCGGCATCAGTAGACAGCCCACGAGGGAGCAGAGAGAACACAGCTCCCTCGCCGCGTCTGACAGGAACTCTGCTACCCGCCTCTGTGTATGTGTGTGTGTATCTGAATGTGTATGTCTGATGGTGTATGTATGTGTCTGTATGTGTCTGCATGTGTGGGCGGAGGGCGGGGGGGACGTGTGGTGTAGGAGGTAGATGTAAGGGGGGCCCCACAGGGCAATTTTCGCACCGGGGCCCTGTGGTTTCTAGTTACGCTTCTGCAGCCCGCCATTAATTCGGTCCCTCTCCTGTTCATGAAATACTAGAAGGGGAGAGAGAGAATGACGCTCAGTCTCCCCATCAATTTACTTATTAATATGGCTCCTGGATTAGAGATTAGGAACTGATTTTCCTCTTGCAGTATATAATTGCTACATACTATAGTGCAGTAAAGTTGCACTATGTATGAAGATATGTTATGTATCATATCTGTGAAACATTAAATCCGGCGGACATCCACGTTATCCCAAACTGACTTGTAGGGAATATGGGCTTTATTTACTAAACAGTAAAATAAATGTATTATTTTACTGTTAGAAAACGCTTCCGAATCCATTGCTGCCAAGTGAATAAACTAAACCCATAACTAAATATGAATTGGAAAACTGCAGAATTGCCAAGGGGGGTCACAGTTTGGGCCATTCACTGACAATTAACACTCTAGTGAATAATCAGAAGAGATTTTCAAAACACGCTAGGCCAGCATGATGGGAGTTGCAGTACACAGTTATTGGGATGCAGACAGCAAGGCTCACTCACCTGAACTGAGGGTTGTCAATGAGGTCCCTGAGTGCAGCTGGGAGGCAGGAGGGGCTGCCCTGCAGTAAGGCTGAGTCTGATGGTTTAGTAGGGGACTGAGCCATGATGGAGGATGTCTTAATCAGCCCAGGACCCAGGTTGTATCAGCCTGTGAGGGCTCAGGCAAGCAAGAATAATTACTTACTGCCTGCTAGTAGTCCCTTTTACCTCCTGTGTTAATTTCCCTTTGTCCCTATGCCCCCAGTGCTAATTGCCCCCTGCCCCTCTACTCCCAGTGCTAATTGCCCCCTGCCCCTCTACTCCCAGTGCTAATTGCCCCCTGTCCCTCTACTCCCAGTGCTAATTGCCCCCCGTCCCTCTACTCCCAGTACAAATTGCCCCCTGTCCCTCTACTCCCAGTGCTAATTGCCCCCTGTCCCTCTACTCCCAGTGCTAATTGCCCCTGTCTCTCTACTCCCAGTGCAAATTGCCCCTGCCCTTCTACTCCCAGTGCAAATTGCCCCCTGCCCTTCTACTCCCAGTGCAAATTGCCCCCTGCCTCTACTCCCAGTGCTAATTGCCCCAGCCCTTCTACTCCCAGTGCAAATTCCCCTGTCCCTCTACTCCCAGTGCTAATTGCCCCCTGTCCCTCTACTCCCAGTGCAAATTGCCCCCTGTCCCTCTACTCCCAGTGCTAATTGCCCCCTGTCTCTCTACTCCCAGTGCTAATTGCCCCTTTGTCCCTCTACTCCCAGTGCAAATTGCCCCCTGTCCCTCCCTTTTCATCTCTCCAATCCTGACCGCAGCTTCCCTTGTCCCTCTACCCCAGAATTGGGAGTGCTCCTATACCCCTTCCTGCCCCTCTCCCCCTAGTCTTGATACACCTTCCTGCCCCTCTCTTCCCCTAATTGTGAGACCCCTTCGTCTCTCTCCACCTAATCCTGAGACCCTTTCCAGTCCCACTCCCCCTAGTAGTGAGATCCTTTCCTGTCCCTCTACCCCTAGGCCTCAGACCCTTTCCCGCCCCTCTACCCCTAGTCCCGAGATCTCTTCCTGCTCCTCTCCCACTAGTCCTTAGACCCCTTACTGTCCCTCTCCCCCTTGTCCTGAATTCCTTTCCCGCCCCTCTCCCCCTAGTCCTTGGACCCTCGTGCCCCTCTTCCCCTAGACCTGAGCCCCCTTCCTGCCCCTCTCCCCCTTGTCCTGGAATTTCTTCTTGCCCCTCTCCCCCTTGTCCTGAGACTCTCTGCCCCTCTACCCTTAGTCCTGAAATCCTTTCCTGCCCCTCTCCCCCTGGTCCTGAAATTCCTTCCTGCCCCCTAGTCCTTGGACCTTCCCTGCCCCTTTCCCCCTAGTCCTGAGGCCCTTTCTGCTCCTCCCACGCCCTAGTCCTGAGGCCCTTTCCTGCCCCTCTCCCCCTAGTCCTGAGGCCCTTTCCTGCCCCTCTCCCCCTAGTCCTGAGGCCCTTTCCTGCCCCTCTCCCCTAGTCCTGAGGCCCTTTCCTGCCCCTCTCCCCCTAGTCCTCTTTCCTGCCCCTCTCCCCCTAGTCCTGATTCCTTCCTGCCCCCTAGTCCTTGGACCTTCCCTGCCCCTTTCCCCCTAGTCCTGAGGCCCTTTCTGCTCCTCCCACGCCCTAGTCCTGAGGCCCTTTCCTGCCCCTCTCCCCCTAGTCCTGAGGCCCTTTCCTGCCCCTCTCCCCCTAGTCCTGAGGCCCTTTCCTGCCCCTCTCCCCTAGTCCTGAGGCCCTTTCCTGCCCCTCTCCCCCTAGTCCTGAGGCCCTTTCCTGCCCCTCTCCCCCTAGTCCTGAGGCCCTTTCCTGCAACTCTCCCCTCTAGTCTTGAGAGCAGTAGGTCTGGACTCCAGTCCTGGTTCTGATCCAGCACACTGAGCTGATGTCAGTTCTCAGGAAGTGGCTGCTGGCTGTGTGACTGTGAGCTGGAAAACCAGGGGCGGATCTCTGTTATTCCTGGGATCTGTGCACATTGGATGCTTCATGTAACTTCCAATAGCTGGGGGAGGGGGGCTACATTTGGGGTCTGGCAGTTTGCATTGATTCAGCTTTAACTTTGGCAACAGCTGGAAAAATAGATTCTTAAACATTCTGCTGTATAACAGATGATACAAATTAGTAAAAATGTAAAACTGAATTTCACAAACTTGTCCCAGACACCCTGACCTTGAAAGATTGTAGTATTTATTAACTAAATAAATCATTGTAAAAGTCTCCAACTCAAATATATTTTTTTTCCTCCTCTGCAACATACTCCTAAAATTTGCAAATTCCCATCGCCATAATTCTGCGAGGCTTATTCACTAAACTCTGAATTGTATCAAATTCAGTCTAAATTGCTTAACCGAGACCTCTAAATTGAAGCCCGCGACATTGTGGTTTATTGTATACAAGGGTCTCTCTTCACCACTTCACAATAACCGCTAAGGTGTGACTATAGGGGTGGAGAATTTCTCCAGATGGGCTATTTTTACCAAAATGTCGCCATTTATATTTTAATTTGTTACAATTTGAAGTTTATTTAAATAATCTGCCGTTTCTGTGATTCTCGCAGACAGGGGTATGTGAAAGACTGCTCCAAATCTCCCCAAGAGGCTCACATCCGTTTGTATAGCCCCTATTATTATAATTTAGCATTTAGATAGCACCAATATATACTGTAGCGCTGTACAAACATAATATGAGGGGCCCCACCCTAGTTTACGGTCAATGATTGATTGACAGGCTGAGACGCACCGGCTGTAATCATTCTGCCTGCTGGATGGCCCGAAACGATTTCCTGCATTCAAAAACAGAGACACTGCGCACCAATTCAAAGCTCTAATCACCCCCATACATTTCACCCCCTTCACCCCCAGACCCTCCATGTGTCCCATTCACGACCCACAGGGTTAGTGTGGCATGGTTGGAGTGTTGAGTATGGCAGAACTGAAGCAGTTAATGAGATAAGGTGAGTGGCCGCCTAAATCACCTTAGGGCAGTGTGACAGATCGGGTCATCGGTCAGAGGCCGAGGCCCCAACACAGGAGGGGGCCCGGCAGCTTGCCCTTTATGCCGCCGGATGCGAAACCCCTCCTATGCCTGCCCGGGAGAGAGCCAGCCTGTCTACAGCTCCGCCGAGCGCAGAGCTGCAGACTGAGGGGGTCTCTCGATCTCACCCAATCAGAGTGTTGCCGCGGGTTACCACGGCAACGCCCTGACTGGCTGAGATCGCGAGACTAAACTTCCCACGTGGTCTGCAGCTCTGCACCCGGAGGAGCTGCAGACCGTAAAGGGAGCCCACCGGACCACCAGGGATACAGCCTGGCCGCCCACTGGACCACCAGGGAATAAGTTAATCCTAAATTATTTATGCCTCCGCTCCCCACCCTGCCCTCCTACCACCCTCTGCCCCAGCCACCCCACCACCACTGCCCCAGCCACCCTCTGCCCCAGCCACCCTCTGCCCTCCTACTACCCTGTCACTGTCCTCCTACCACCCCCTGCCCTGTCATAGCCCCCCCTACCACCCCAGCCACCCTCTCCAACTCTCCTACCTACCCTCTGCCCCAGCCACCCTCTGCCCTCCTCCTGCCCTCCTACCATCCTATGCCCCCTACCATCCCCTGCCCAGTCACAGCCATCCTACCACCCTCTGCTCCCTACTACCCTTTACCCTGTCACTGCCCTCCTACCAACCCCTGCCCAAGCCACCCTCTGTCCTCCTACCACCCTCTCCCCCAGCCACCCTGAAATCCCTTTTCTGCCCCTCTCCCCCTGGTCCTGAAATTCCTTCCTGCCCCTTAGTCCTTGGACCTTCCCTGCCCCTTTCCCCCTAGTCCTGAGGCCCTTTCTGCTCCTCCCACCCCCTAGTCCTGAGGCCCTTTCTGCTCCTCCCACCCCCTAGTCCTGAGGCCCTTTCCTGCTCTTCTCCCCCTGGTCCTGCAATTCATTCCAGCCCCCTAGTCCTTGGGCCTTCCCTGCCCCAACCACTCTCTGCTCTCCTACCACCCCACTACCCTGTCACTGTCCTCCTACCACCCTCTGCCCCAGCCACCCTCTGCCCTCCTACCATCCCACTACCCTGTCACTGTACTCCTACCACCCTCTGCCCCAGCCACCCTCTGCCCACTACCATCCCCTGCCACAGCCACCCTACCACCTTCTGCTCCCTACCACCCTGTACCCTGTCACTGCCCTCCTGCCACCCCCTGTCACAGCCACCTTACCACCCTCTGCCCCCTACCACCCCGTGCCCTGTCACAGCCCCCCTACCACCCCCTGCCCTCCTACTGTCCTCCTACCACCCCACTACCCTGTCACAGCCCCCCTACCACCACCTGCCCCACCACCCCCTGCTCCAGCCCCCCCACTACCCCTTGTCCTGTCACAGTCTCCCACCACCTCCTACCCTGTCACAGTCCCCCACCACCTCCTACCCTGTCAAAGCCCCCTACCACCCCCACCCTCTCACAGCTCCCCTACCCTGTCACCCCACACCCATCCAATCACAGCCTTCCCACACACACACGCTGTCACAGCCTTCCACCGCACACCTTGTCATTCCCCACCCATACCCTATCATTACCACACACACTGACACCCCCTTCACATACACTATCACCATTCCCAAACACTTTCAGACCCCACACACTGTCGCCCCCTAAACCCAGCCAAACTTACATAACCCCTCCTAATCCTGTCACTCTCACCCACTGCAACCATACCAAACTCCTTGCTTTGCCACACCTACCCTATTGCATTAACCCCCCCATCAACCCTGTCAAACTCACCTTCTCTTGCACTGTCACACTCACCTCCCCGACCCTGTCACTCATCATCTATCAGTCTGTCCCACTCACCCCATTCACCCTGCCACACTCACCCTATTACATAAACCCTTACAATCCTGTACTCCAACTGTGCAACACTCACCCCAAACCCTGTCACACATAGGTAGACAATGTCAGATACAGTCATATATACATACACCGCCACTTATGTATATAAGACTGCAAGGCTATGTAACCATACCCCTCAGTCATGTATAAACGTTTGGCATAATTGCTAATTAAATTTGTTTATTGCAAATTAAGTTAGTTTGCATAATATGCCATAACTACAGTCAGAGAGATCATAATGCCGCAATACGGAGCCGCAACACTGCAAGCCTCTGAACGATGAATACAGAGACTAGCTCTCTGTATCCAGCGCTGCAAGCTTGTCCTTAAATACAACAACAGCACCTTATACACACAATGCAACCCCTATTTTTAACTTTAGGTGTTAGTGGGGCCCTCATGTTTGAATTTCGCCTAAGGCCTCACAAAGTCTAGAGCCGCCACTGGGGGTGACAGTGTATGTGGTGGGGTGACAGTTACACAGACACACAGATGCATACACTGACACACATGCAGATATACAAACACACACTGACATAGATGGAGATACATACACGGACACACATGCTGATACACGGACACACATACACACAGTGACACACATGTAAATGCAGACACACAAACTAACACACAGACACATATATAAACACCCATGCTGATACACAGACACACAGAATGATACCCTTTGAAATACACAGAATGACACTCCTATAAATACAAACACTGACACAAATATAGATACACATGCAGATACAAAGACACGCATACAGACAGATACACAAACACTTAAGGGCACACACCGACATACAGATACACAGACACACACCTAAATACATACAGATACACACACATACATACATGCACATTCTCTCACACACACACTCAAAAATAATTATTTGTATTATTTTTTTTTTAATTTTGCGTTTAGGAGAGCTGGAATGGATCTTTTCACCGGGGACTAGTGAGGATCCTTTCCCCGGGGTCCAGTGGGGATCCTTTCCCTGGGGTCCAGTGGGGATCCTTTCCATGGGGACCAGTAGGGGTCCTTTCCCCGGAGTCCAGTGGGGATCCTTTCCCCGGGTCCAGTGGGGATGCTTTCCGTGGGGTCCAGTGGAGATCCTTTCTGTGGGGTCCAGTGGGGACACTTTCCGTGGGGTCCAGTGGGGATCCTTTCTGTGGGGTCCAGTGGGGATTCTTTCCCTGGGGTCCAGTGGGGATCCTTTCCCCGGGGTACAGTGGGGATACTTTCCGTGGGGTCCAGTGGGGATCCTTTCCCTGGGTTCCAGTGTTGAACTTGTGTAGTCTTCGTGCTCTTCTCACACTGCTCCCTTGCACACTGTTTAGTGATGCCGGTGCCAGAGTGACTCCATAACCCACCTCCCAACATCACCGCAGGGTGCATAAGCAAGCAATGCTGGAAGATCATGATGAGAGCAGCTTGTCGCCTCTGCCGCCATTCTCCCCCAGCTGGCCAGCTCTTGGGTACACAAACCAGGGGTTGAGAAACAAGGATCTAGAGCAGGCTTCCCCAAACTCCGGCCCTCCAGATGTTGCTGAACTACAACTCCCATGATTCTATGAATGAAATAGATAGACTGAGAATCATAGTTCTGAGTTCTAGTTCAGCAATATCTGGAGGGCCAGAGTTTGGGAAAGCCTGATCTAGAGAAATAACACTATAAGTGTTTTATTCACTATTATATTAACAAAGAAACATAGAATGTGACGGCAGATAAAAACCATTCGGCCCATCTAGTCTGCCCAATTTTCTAAATACTTTCACTAGTCCCTGGCCTTATCCTATAGCTAGGATAGCCTTATGCCTATCCCACGCATGCTTAAACTCCTTTACTGTGTTAACCTCTACCACTTCAGCTGGAAGGCTATTCCATGCATCCACTACCCTCTCAGTAAAGTAATACTGCCTCATATTATTTTTAAACCTTTGTCCCTCTAATTTAAGACTATGTCCTCCTCTTGTTGTGGTAGTTTTTCTTCTTTTAAATATAGTCTCCTCCTTTACTGTGTTGATTCCCTTTATATATTTAAATGTTTCTATCATATCCCCCCTGTCTCGTCTTTCCTCCAAGCTATACATGTTAAGATCCTTTAACCTTTCCTGGTAAGTTTTATCCCGCAATCCATGAACCAGTTTAGTAGCCCTTCTCTGAACTCTCTCTAAGGTATCAATATCCTTCTGAAGATACGGTCTCCAGTACTGTGTACAAAACTCCAAGTGAGGTCTCACCAATGTTCTGTACAATGGCATGAGCACTTCCCTCTTTCTACATGATATTGTGAACTGACGTACAATAACTTTACTTAAAATGGCAGCACCCTAGATCCGCACTGCGCAGCTATTTCTTGTATATTGCTATTTTTACCAGTGCACCCAGCTTTATATTTAGTCTGTTTGTGTTCTGCTGAACAGAAAAGTCAATTTTGTGCAAATGTGTACTTTTATTTAGAATAAATACATAACTAATGGCATAAAGCACGTGCATGGCTTTTGTTGTGCCAACAGGTTTATTTTCCTTGTTGCCGTGGAGACGGTGCGTGCAGGGAAATCAAGGCATCGCCTTGTACCTTTCACTGCAGGTGCATTCTCTTTCGTATTCGTCATTGTGACAGGCTCGGCTGCACCGACAGAGCTGTCTGCTTTATGGCACATACTTTGCATGTCTCTGCGTGGCTTGGCAGACAATCATTAGCAGATATGCCGGATCTCACTATTAAACAAAAATGCTCTGCTTGAAAGTAATGATGTTTTTAATTAATAACTAAAATGGCGTTTCTGCTTATTTTTTTTTTTTTAATATATATTTTTTTTTATTTGGATCAAACGCAAGGCTGTACTGGCATTGCTTGGCATTGGATGCAAATTTCAAATGTCCCATGATTCACTGCACGTGGTCATTAAGCATTAAAAATCCAAATGGTGGTAATGAGACACAAATAACTTATCTGGAAGGAAGCTCCAACTTAGAAAAAGTCACAGCTCGGCTAATTTAGACTCAATCTTCCTATTTTGATGTCAGTTTGCTGCAATTTGAAATTTTGAAAATTAACCTGGGCAGTGTTAATGTTATACTATAAGTACTTTAATAGGAAAAGCATCCGTTCCTCTTTAAAGGGACACTCCAAGCAACTAAACAGTTATGGTAGAAGGAAGTCAGCTGTTACTGTGTCCCTATGCAGAGTGACTTGTAACTGCCGTGGCCTGCTATCATTGATGTAGCCATAAGTTGGCCATGGCAGCAGTCCTGATTTCGAAAAAAAAAATTACCAACCGCAAGAACTGACAATCCATTATGTATCCAACGTCACAGCATTATGATAACTCATCTGTCTATATAATAATCTCTGGGTGGCAGATTACAGATAATCAGGTTGGACATTGAGAAATAGCTCTGTAGTATGAGACGTCTTGGTTAAACATACAGAATCCTTACACATGGACAGAGAGGGCAGAGGGTACAGTCTATTTGTGTTTGGAGGTCAATATAAGTTCTGGCCAAGAATAACATATAAATTACTGAGTATTTTTTTTTTCTTTTTTTTCTTTTTTTTTAGATTGCAACAAAAACTGACAATTCTATCATAACAGGTAATGGGAAAGCTGAGTATTAGAAGCTTAATGCAAAGCAAACAGACCTGCATGTGAATTTGTTTCTAATAAGAGTGTATTATTAGGGATTGAAAGGGAATTTAAAATGTTAGGCCAAAGTAGTCGCAATGGACGTTTTTCCAGGTCAGCTATGTTATAATATGATGTAATATTTAAAATCCTCTGTAAATTCCCAATAACTCCCCCTTCAGTAAACAATCCTCGTGGCGTTTGATCAGGTGTTATTTTAGCGTTTTTCTTTCTTTACTGACAAACAATTCTGTGAAAGGGTTTTTGTATTTAACCTCCCACCATGCTGAGGGAGCGACGCCATACCTGGTTCGTATCGAGTGGGTTGGGGACTTTTATTGTAGGACGGACATTATTGTCGCCATTCTGCAGCAAATGGTCAGGTGAGAGTTTGAGGTTATTTATAAAGTTGGGACAGAGGCGATATAACCTCAAACTCCGTGAGAGTCTTTAAAGTATGTTTGCCTTCCCTTTGTTTGCAGGCAGGCCACGGGCGCCTGGTTTGGTGACCTAAAGCTTGAGATGGAGAGATTCCTGTGGAATTTCAGAAAGATAAGCCGTTTGTTTTAACGCCGTCGTTTTATGGATTTATAGGTGATAATTAATCTGTTGTGTTCCTCGAGTTTAGGAGCAAAGTATGAGCTGTGTATCTCTTATACAGCTTTGTGTAAAATGCTCTTAATACTCTGATTACTGGATTAGGTGAATCCTACTTGGTAGCCTGCGTTCATCGTTCAGTTTACACATTTAACTGCGGCTCGGAAAGAAAAACAAATTAAAGTGCAGTCATTACAGCAATTACAATGACTACTATACATTTCTACATATTCCCTCAGGCCGATTCACGTTACACTAAACGGATTCATGGATTGTACCCAACGTTCCAAGACGGAATGAGGCTGTTCTGGAGGTAGTGTAGTCCTATTCCGTATTTGGTCCTTGATATTAATATAGAGTTATTGTATGCCCATCCTTTCTATAGAATGGGTGCTCATACGGGCATTGGAGCTTTGCTCAGTCATTGGGTTCATTGACTGGCAAGATTTATGGTTACAGTATTTTACTCTCTCACTCTGACACCGGGTACATTTCAGATGATAAATTAATAATGGTGGTCTGCAACGTCACATGGCCAAGTTTTTCTTGGTAATTGCAACAGATCCAGCATATCTATTGGCTATCAGCGTAACAGGTGTTGGAGGTTTTTTTTTTTTTACCATTACAGGTAAATATTACGGATTCTGCGTGACACTCGTGTTTTACCGGGAAAGATTAAAATGACACGACTGCTGCACCCAGACCACTTCATTGAGATGAAAAGGCTTGAGTGAGTATAGCGAATGTTTTATGGAATAGGTTTTATCTACGTTCCTTGCAGGGCTCTCTGGAGCCAAACATGTTAAAAAGAAATATAACAATAAAGAAAAACAAAAGAAGGATGGCATCCAAGAAGGAAGTGACGAGTGTTACCAAGGTGACCCTTGGAGTTGTGGTGGCACCATGCCCGCTGCTGCCTTGCACAGTCAACTGGCACCGGTCAGACCCACCCTGGCAATGATTTACTGTGGCTTTGAGAATTATTAATCTGCTCGATTTAGTGTGGGATTTGAAGACGAGTCTGGGCTTGCCGGGTCAGAGACATTATAAAATCGCAATTGCACAGAATCTCAGATACAGAAAGAACGATCGCTGGCTAACATATAGCCTAGACACCTGGTAAGGTAACTATTACTGTTTAACCCTTTCTGGACAATATCTATGGCATTAGTAGGACAATCCATAGACTGGTGGAATGTATTTCAAATAGATGAAGGTTTCCTGACAGAGGAGCTTGCAATTAAACGCTTATTTCACTGGTTTTAGAACATAAAGTATAGAAATAGATGGCTATAAAATCCTTTGACGGTAGTCTGTTAGACCCCTGGGGTTATCTAGGAGTTTTATTACTGTTATTTTGTATAAATTCCGATAGAGTTTATGTTATAATTTGCGATATCTGCTCAGGCTGCGCTGTAAATTATTTTAACACGTATTGCAGCTTGAGCAGCATATTAGCACAGGCGCACGTGCAGCACTTTGGAATAATTGATCTTTTCATCAGGTGACCAGGAGTACTTCAATGCACCTGGAGCACGTGGGACGATGACATCACCTTGAATATACAAGTGCTGCAAAGGTAAGTGTCCTATACCTACCTCCACCCCAATACGCGTTTTCTGGGGAAGGGGAATGAGGAACTCTCTCTTCGAGAGTTATTACTCAGTGGTTAATGGTGTGGGGTAAGCAACTAGATTGCAAGCTCTTAAAACAAGGGACCAGGAGCTCTTCAAACAAGAGAAAGCAGCTGTTTATTGTAATTGTCATCTAATTAGATCTCAGGTGATACTTGGGTATGGGTAATTAAGGGTTTATTCAATAAACAGTGAGTTTTCTTGAGCTAAAAAACACATTGAATAATATGTGTGAAAATGAATAATTGTGGGCTGGGGAACAACCCCACTATTGATTACAGGGGGCACATTTACTGTATTTGATGTGCTTTCCTTTCAGGTATTTCCATGAATTAAACCCCAGCCAGGGCACATCGGGGCAGAAAATACGTGTGAGAATACGTAAATAATTAAATTGATTCTGTCCAGTCTATTCAGCCAACACGCAGACTGTTACATTGTCATCCAGGTCGGAAAAAACTCAAATCTACGTGTAGCCTTTTACGCTTCTCCGATCGAAAAAGAAATGAAAAATATTGTAACGCGCTACGGAATCTGTTGGCGCTATATAAATGGCAATAATAATAATAATAACCCAATACAGAGCGATTTCCAGTCAAAAAGAGAAAGATTTTGGCAGTTATATTATATTTTGGATCTTCACACTTTCCCCTCATATTAACTGTTACATTCTCGCATATTCTATTTTACAGAAAATACGTCCATTCTTCCTTTTAACAGACCTTTACCGAATCTGTTAAAACCTCCTTTTTAGTAGATGATTCTCAGGGTTTATTCATCAAATAGTGACAAAAATGAAAAATTTAAGGATTTTGGTTAAAGAAACCCTGACTTTTGGTCAAAGTTTAAATAAATAAATAAATTTCTCTCCTCCTCCGTCTGATTCTCCGCCTCTGACATCACTCTCCTTAGCTTAGCCAGACGGCACGAGGGGAGGATATGAATAGCACAGAGAAGGATACCATGCCACCATTAGCTGTCTGTCCCCAGGATGCTGTGCGTGCTGATTGACAGATGCCAATTTTGCACAGAATTTACTCTAGTCGGTTAGAAACCCCTTTACGGGGCTGGCTAATTTGATGCCCCAATGACACTGCATGAGGTGCAGTTATAACAGATTACAACGAAACGCAGCATATACTGACTGTAGGCACCATAACCGCTTCGGAATACAAAAGTGGTCATGGTGTTTGCAGTAACCCTTTAAGAATGATTATAGTTCACCAAATTTGACCTGAACTTTGCAATTAGATTTTCAGTACGTCACATTTCACCTTTTAGCAAATTCCTCACTGTTTAGTAATTAAACCCCTTTTCCCCCTGTGAGATATGTCAGTATATTTTACATAAAAGATAACATTCAATTAAACATTTATTAAATCCAATTAATGTGTTCAGTGTATAAAAGCTTTTAGGAATTTGCACAGTTTAGCTTCCAGTGTAATTTAAATTATTTAACAGATGTCCCCAGATTGCCGTGTGACTGAAGTCATTTTGTTTGTCTGGTGGCGAATCAGCCGCAGCATTGATTATCAATGAGATCTGTTCGGCTGCATGCACGGTATTGACTAGCTGGTTAGCTCAACTGAATGCATATTGATCAATATTTAATGTTTACCGCAGCAATCAGAAATCTATGTAATAGTTTAAAGGTTTGTGTGAAATGATGAGTAGGATATTCATCTTTTCCAAGAGAAATTTTGAATAATCTAATATTTTTAATTAATTAAATAGTGTAATGGTTTATATTAAATAAGACTTTCAGTTTTACCCCAGAAGCTTTCTCTCAAAGGGTCAAAATGTTAATGAATGTAACAGTGTAAATATTTCATGAAACGTTTAAATAAATGCTTCTGGTTTCATTGTGGAAGAATACTAGCTAGATTTTACTAAGTGATTCAATTTAAAGATATTTTTGCAATACATGTAGACGCTTAATTTTTAATTTAAATCAATTTGTAAATAATCATGTGTCGGTCATGTCGACAGTTATCATAAATTCCCTGCACAGGGTGAAAGAGACCATAAACACTTTAATTCGTGAAAACAGATGAATGAAGCTACCTGCATGCTTTTTTTCTCATGAATGAAAGCACTCACAACAGAACAACTATTTCTTTGTATAATATCTGTTAAATAAGCATTTGTGGGAAATGTACAATGCTCACACTCAAAACAGAGACCCAGGACTGGCTGACAAAACTCAAAACTTATGCCTCATTTCCACTGAGCGGTACGGTTCGTGTCGGAACGGTTCGGAAGGGTTAGAATGGTCCAGCCTAGTCAGGTGCAAGTCGGACCGCCAGGGGGCATGTGGGGGTTAGACCAAATGCCTAGCGTGTCATTTGTCGTGAGCATTGACGTTTTCCTGTCCGCCAATCAATGGATTGTATAGTGTGAAGCCAGTAGCTCCGCCCTAACCGTACCGTACCATTTGCTATGGATCTACATCTGAAGGGGGCCCAGGCATGGTGTGGTTTGGTTTGGTTGTATGGGACTCTTTCATAATGGAAACACTCAAAATAGCGTACCAAACCGTACCGACCAGAACTGTACCGCTCAGTGGAAATGAGGCATTAGTCACTTCAAATTTCTGCCAAAGATACAGAACTATCTTTTTTAATTTTAAAGGGACAGTATAGTCACCAAAACAACTTTAACTTATTGAAGCAATTTTGGTGTATAGAACATGCCCCTGCAGTTTGACTGCTCAATTGTCTGTCATTTAGGAGTTAAATCACTTTTGTCTCTGTTTATGCAGCTCTAGCCACACCAAGCCTGGCTATGACTGACAAGCCTGCATGAAAAAAAAAATGGTTTTACTCTCAATGAGATGTAATTTACTTTAAAAGTTTGTATTTCCTGCTCTGTAAATTGAACTTTAATTACATACAGGAGGCTCCTGCAGGGTCTAGCAAGCTATTAACAGAGCAGAAGATAAGAAATTCTAAATTAAACAGAATTTGCAATAAAGGAACTGTAAACATTAGATATCTCTTTACAGGATGTGTTTAGGAATGCTGTACATGTCACATGCAGGGAGGTGTGGCTATGGCTGCATAAACAAAGGGATGTAACTCCTAAATGGCAGATAATTGAGCAGTGAGACTGCAGGGTCATGATCTATACACCAAAATTGTGTATGAGCTAAAGTTGTTTTGGTGGCTGTAGTGTCCATTTAAGGATTTTTTTTTAAACTTTATTTTTGTAGTGCAAAAGGTGAACAAACAGAATAATATAGGCATAGACATATTATCAAGAGAAAATAGAAGTAACAATGCTTATTCAAGTATGTCCTGCTGGTAATGCACTATTTATTTTTGTGTTGTAAGACAAGCAGATTAAACAAGGTACACAACTTGCCCGATGGCATAATAAGTAAGAGACATCAGGCTTTTTAGAAAATGATTAAATGCCATGAACAGTGTAAAAAGAATGCACAAGCATAACACATAGATATATAGCAAACAGAGTGGCCTGGTCGTACTTGTGCCAACCTGGGGCCCTTCCTTAAGTTTTGTGTCAGTCCAACAACTGACAGAGCACCTAGACTAAATAAATAAGAAACTAATAAAGACAAGCATAATAGAGATATAATAGAAGGGCTGTAAGATGGTGCCGCTCATCCTATACCTTCCATGGTTAATGCACAATCACGTCTGAGCCAAGGATGCAGCTCTTTTTGTGGGGAGAGGGTCAGTACCCATGATGCCCAAGAGCATTTCAGCTGGTCTCTCAGCGAGGAATGTTCGTAGAGTGGACCTCTGGGGTCTAGGCCCGTGGAGTTACAAAATACAGTTCCCGCTGTAAGGGAAAGTGAAGGTGCTTGTCGACTCCATTGGGCTACCGTAGAGGTCGCCGTGGTCTGAAGCGAAATCCGCCAGGGTAATGCATTCAGAAACTGGTGGTACTGTGTAGGGAACATTCGCTGGCTTAGTCTGTTCCAGAAGTCAGCAAATATGAGGTTTAGTTTTGTCACTGGAGTGAGGGTAGCACGTGGCGCCTGCCATCTTATCGATTCACGGGCTGTAACAAACTTGAGGGTGGCACTGCCGCGGTTGGTATGTGGAGAAGTGGAGCCTCCGCAGTTGTGGACCGGGATCTCCCCCACCGGTCCGGAGGGGGGGAGAGGAGGGAGGGATAGCAGGAGATTGCAGCGTGGGTCTGGCAGCTGGCTGTCTGGGAGAGTGGCCGTCTCCCCTGTTCAGCATCCGCACCAGGCCTCACTGTGCCCCTCGCAGATTGCAGGCGTGGCTTGATTTTCTGGGCACTGTAAGCAACCCCACAGCAGGAGAACAGTAGGTTGCAATTCTGGCTTAACCAGTGCCCTAAAGGGTAAAATATTCAAGAGGGTCAACGGCCAAGCCAGGAGCTCTGGCAGAACGTTTCCTGTCGCCATGCAGGTCAGGCCTCGCTCCCCCATTTAAGGATTTTTAAAATGTTTTTATTTAAAATTTGTCATTTATATTATTGTTCTTCCTAAATTCATAAAGGGTGAGGTGACTCCAGTCAGATCTGTCCAATTACTTTTTATCCCAACTGCTGCAGTGGTCTGACCGACCTTCCTTGTGGCTGAGAGTTAGTGTTTGGAGATCACCAGGTAGGGAAAATGCTGGGGTTCCATGCGATGATATGAGCGATAAGAGCAGAGAATGAGAGAGTTCTGCAAAGCGAAGCATTATTAGATATCTCCACAAATCCCCCTGGAAAGGAAAATAAAGAATATTTATTGTAAATAAACATTCTCCCAATCCTGCAGTTTGTTTTTTCCCTCTCTTTCATCGTCACACCCTCCCTGTAGCGCAGACAGATGGCATTTAATTATGTGCTCACAAAGCAAATTTGGAAATGTTTTTGAAAAAAAAAAAGAAAAAGAGAATTATTCTCTATAGCGTGCATTGGCCACAATTTTTGAATTTTACGCAAAAACAGAAATTGGAAAAAAAATTCTCATTCAGCTACGTTTTCTGTTTAGCTATTGAGGCATAAAATTTTAAATTCACTTCGAATTCCTGACAAATCCTAATTTACAGGGTTATTCACTAAAATGAGAATTGATTTTCAAATTTAAGGTCAAACTAGCCGATGTGGAAAAGTTCTCTTAATCAGCTGTGCTTTCAGTTCGATTGCTCTGACCTTACATTTGAAATTCACTTTGAATTCTCACATTAGTTTATGTGTTGTGGATAACCTGTATATGTTATTGTCAGGATACAACCTTAATCACCACGGGATTATCTTCCACTATCGCAGATTAGCTCCTAATGGGCCTATTGTGTGGATGGGAATCTAATAATTCTCCCGTAGAGCAGCGGCCAGTACAGAGTGTTCTTGAAACAAGTTATTAGTATGAAGAAGGGCCAACTGTTGCCAAGAGTAAATTATTCTGGATTATTTAATCCTGTCCATTATCAATTGAGCCACTGAGGCATCTCTGCAAACAGTAAACGTGTTTAAACTTGTAACAAACTAATGTTATCACTGGTTTTAGCTTGCGAGCCGTGTATAGTTTCTATAGCGAGCACTCCACCGATACGTATTATATATTATAAATCAATTTACTGAGCAGAAACGCCCATCGCTCAGCCTAATCCTTGCCCGGTATATATAGGAGGGAAGTCTCTGGGCTGAATGAGAATGAAATAGGACTACCTTCCAGTGTAAGTATTTCAGATTTTCAACATTTAAACATTTGAATCCCTTTTTAAAAATAAAACGTTTGACTTCATCAGAAACGAGCTACGTTGCTGCCAAGATGGCTGAATCATTGCCCAATGGGTCACTAGTCAGAGGGCAGTCTGGTACGCAGACTTTATTTTAACAGAATCCGGCTTCCTTCTCGTGTTCTAATTCAGTTACATGTTGATTCTTTTTCCATTTTAGATCCATTGTACGTGCAGTTGAAGAAGAGAGATCCGACCACGTCCATTGAGTTGTCGCAGAGGGGTTGCTTTGGTTGAGAAGCAATTTTTTGTTGTGTCAGATAGTTGGACTGGCTTGATAATTCGTGTGCCCATTTTCTGGCAATTTGGCTTTTCAAAAACGGGGTAAGTGATTATCATTATTATTAATAATTATTACAAGTATCATCATTTATACAGCACCAACATGCTATATATGCTGCAGAGTTTTACAATTTTTACAGAGAGTATAAAGCAGCAATTAAGAGACCCATAGTACCGTAATTGTGGCTCGTGTATTTTCTGGTCACTAAATATAATTTCTCCACGTATTAGGAATGGATAGAGCCACCAATTGCCAATCAGAATACAGCTTTGATGTTAGACATGACAGATTGTATTTGCCCATTTCTTCTGTAGCTCTCATTAAATGCATTTTCCCCACAATCTGAGATTCATTACATTAAATAAGATGCAAATAAACATATCATAACATTCAATGTTATTAGAATGACATTACTGACTCTTTAAGATATAGGTTTAATTCCCAGCTCACATGACTGCGAGTGTGTCTTATTTTATAGTAAAAGGCGGCGTTGTTACAAACAGCGATACTGTCTGGGGGTCCGTCGCTCTCTGTCACAGACCGTTTCTGTGGTCTTTAACCCCCTGAAGGACCAAACTTCTGGAATAAAAGGGAATCATGACATGTCACACGTCACGTGTCCTTAAGGGATTAAAGGGAAAAAAAAATGCCCCGGCCTATATTTTGCCACATCCAGCCCTGACTGTTTGTTAATTTATAAAATATAATCCATAACTAAGATAGGAAAGTCACCAGTTGTATAGAAAAAGTGATTTGGCTCCCATAATGCTAAACGAGCCATCCCACAATGCATTGTGCGAATATCCACATACCACCTTCCCAGCCACCATATTTGTAGTTTGTGTTTGTCAGGCTTACGGTTTAGGCTTTTTATTATTTTATTATTTATATAGTGCCAGCAAATTCCGTAGCACTTATGCTTTGTATTAAACGTTCAAGAAAGGTGTAATTTATTCGTTATAACAGATTTTATTTTTATTTTTTATTGTAATTATGCAGTTTGAACACTTTTTCCTAAGAAAACTGATAAGATGGCAGAAAACCCATCCCGTTTATCCGAGGATGTCCTGGCTCAATTTAATCCCACTGTGGCCACAGAAGGCCTACCACAGGCAAAGGCAGCTCCTCTTACAAGCCGTCGGAGCTCTCAATCCATTGAAATGCCCTCACGACCTCTCGTACGCCTTAGAAGTATTGATGAGCGCCTTAATATTAATTCTCGCAGAAGTTCCATTGCCAGCATTGCAAATACGTTCACTCGGAAAAACTCTATGTGCGCCATGGGCCCTTCCAAGCGCCTGTCTATGGGACCCTGGGCGCAGTACGGACGAGTTAGTTTCTCAGGACTGCCCTTATTTCAGCCAATTAAGGAAGTTCAGATGGAGAACACCTACAAGACGTGTCCAGACCAAGGCTGCAGATTCAACTCAAGCAGAGTACAAAGTGTTCTGGAGAACATTCTAAGCACCTACCTCAGTGACACCAAATACAGCCCCGCGACCAGTGGCCAACTGACTCATAACCTGTCTGATCTCATACGCAGCAAACTGAAGGAGATTTGTCCTCCACGCTACAAGGTGGTTTGTAGTGTCTTCCTTGGCCAAATGGGCCAGCAGGGGGTGAGGATCTCCAGCCGAACATTGTGGGACCCACAGAATGATAACTTTGCCTCTGCGACGTACACCAATTCCTCTTTGTTTGCGGTGGCCATGGCCCACGGATTCTATTTTGAATGACTGTCCTTAAGTTCACACACGAGATCTTCACTCACAAATATAAGCTCTCATGACCTTGATAACGGCTTTAAAAAAAAAAAAAAAACAGCCTGATTTATTTGTAGTATTTTTATTAGAATCTCAATTTTACAGTTAAAATAATTTGTCATGTTCCCTAAACAATTTTGTGGAAATGACAATCAAATCACATGGTCATTCACTAAACTGATAATTCAAAGTGAATTTTAAATATTAAAAATAGCAGAACTAGAAAAATCTGCTACTTTGGTCTTAAAGAGACACTATAGTCACCAGAACAACTACAGCTTATTGTATTTGTTCTGGTGAGTAGAATCATTTTCAGGCCTTTTGCCGTAAACACGGTTTCAAAGGAAATTGCAGTGTTTACATTACAGCCTAAGGATACCTCCACTGACCACTACTCAGATGACTACTAGAGGTGCCTCCTGGGGCAGTGTTGCACAGTGTGACTGACATTCAGTGTCTCCACCTTCTGCATGCAGACACTGAACTTTCCTCATAGAGATGCATTGGCGTTTGGCTCCACTCCCTGCCCCGCCTTCTTGGCAGTCTCAGCAAATCCAATGCTTTGCTTTAGGAATACATTGTGATTGGCTGAGAACTCTGCTTCTGATGAAGTCAGCCTAGGAGGCAGACGAGGGGCCTAGCGAGCAGCAGACTGGAGTAAAGGTAAGAGTTTATATTTAAGAGAGGGGCTAGATAGTGATTTTAACAGTATAGGGTCAGGAATACATGTTTCTATTCCTGACCGTAGTGTTCCTTTAAGTTTGAAATTCACTTTGAATTCTCCCTTTAGTGAATAACCCTGGTCAAAGCAAGCCATTGATCTGATTGCAATAATTTTTTTCCCAGTGTCTCCACCCTCTGTATGGAGACGCTGAACTTTCCCCATTGAGATGCATTGATTCAATGTATCTTTAGGAGGAAATGCTGATTGGTCAGCAGTGTTTTGTTGCACATGCTCCAACTCCCAATGTTTTCCTATGAGAACACATTGGATTGGCTGAAATCATTAAATTTGATAATCTCAGCCAAGGGGGCAGAGCCAGCCACAACCAGTCCTGCACGGCACTGGGAAAAGGTGAGTAAATTATCTTTTTAACCGGAGGTTAATAACTATTTAGACTTCTAGTATCAGGGATATATTATGGGGAGATTTATTTAAAATAAATAAATACTTGAGAGAATAGTTCTGTTTTCTATTGGGTCAGTTTGTGTCACATTGAAATCTTCATTTTTACCCCCTCTGCCCACTCCAGAGCATAAACATATGCTGTGGTTTGTGGTCAGGGCTCTTGTATGCTGCACAACTTAACACTGAAAACTGAGCTTTAAGGGTATTTCTCAGTACCAACTGTATATAGAATCACCAGGATCAGCCAGGTGATCAGCCACTTCCAGGTGCGTTGAAAGCAGAGTGAAGAAATGGCATATGGTGGGTTTGCAGCAAATCTAGTGATGTATCATGATTTAATGCAATATCCGAGCCACTTCAAAACTTGAAGGGACACCCCCACTCAAACAATAGATATATCCCTAATAAAACATTCATATCTATAAACAGCTTGTAAAACATGCAGATCTCTTGTCTGCAGCCTTGGCAAGCTCTCTTCTAACCCCGCCCAGACTTTGTGGTTGTCCAATCACAGGCTTCCCAACGCAGCTCAATGAGAAGTCTTTGCAAGGCAGGTGCTCTGAGCAAATGCTGCCTCTTGAGTTTAGATCCACTGAGTTAAACAAACCAGGAAGTAACAGGACAGTGGTCTGATTAACACTGGTAAAGAACTAGGGTATATATAAAAAAAAGTGTTCATTTCTATTTAACTCTGCACTTTTTCCGCTTTATTTAAACACTTCACAAAGCACTTCAGCAAGGTTCGGCAATTTAGTGCTTTGGAGTGCAACCTTAACCAATGCTCTTTAACATTGCAGGCAGCAACTGTCTAGGACACGCTGCACATTACAAACTGCAGCAACAGACATCAGTTTAATCGCTAAACAAGGAATGGTTGCGACCAGTGACTTGTAAATTTCAAGACAAAAGACATGAAAATACAGCAACTCTTTCCCAGATGTGCTTTATTGAATTTGCACTTCAGCTTTGTAAATAGACCCCTAACTGACATTTCTGTAATAAAATCAACCCCTCAGATAACATGCCTGCAGGGCCACAATAGTTTATATTGAATTTTTCTTGCAAATCCTGTTCTAAAAGGTCACGCCAAGAAGGTGAGATGTCAGTGACCTCAGATCCTATCTCAGGAGCTTAGTGTGGGATATCTGGATAAAGGAAGTGCTAAATGAGACGACGACAGGTTGGATATTTATTACACTAGTGACATTTGCATTCTCTTTGCACATTTTAGAGCTGACTTTAGAATGTCTAGCCTGGAGTAAACAGAAAATTCACATTCACACCCAACAACTTACACATCAGGGATCTGTAAAGCAAATGCCAAGACCGGGAGTAGAAACTACAGCTAATACAGAGGTTTCCACAAATCTACCTTGTGCTAAAATTTGCAATTATCTGCTAAATTCCATTCAGTTAAAGGTTTAGTTAACGGTTAGACACTCAATAGCTGATAGTGTTAAAAAAACAAAAACCTTAAGCCATGTTGAAATATTATATTAATTCAAACCGGCTGAAAAATACATTTGTGCACAAGTTTAATATCCATGACCGCATTAGCTTTAGAGATTCAGGTGATCACGGCAAGGTATTGGGCAATAGAAGTCACGCTGTCACTGCCTACAGACTTTGCAGAGATTAACAGACAGACCGTGAAGTTCCTTACAGGAACAGTTTAAAAGCAAAGTCCTCATTGAAGAGAATGGAGGTTCAAGTATTCCCTGTTATTTTACTCACAGCTATTGTTTTCCATGAATAGTAGGCAGATTATATTAACCAGCAGGCACCAGATGGCCCCTTCAAACCTCTGGCACAATCCTCCCCAAATGCTAAATGTACAATGAAAGGTTATTTGAGAAGGACAGACATTGCCTATTCAAATCAGAGATAGTATGTATTAAAAAAATCCCCTCCCAAAAACCAAGAGCCAGATGTTTCTTTTTTGAGATCAGTTTATTTTGTTGGTTTTTGTATAAAACAATTTCAGCTCCGTTTGTGATTTACTAGGAGAAAAAACAAACATTTTAAAATAAATATTTATAAATAAAAGTGAACATATAAATAAACCTTATTACTTTTAAGTTAAAGAAAACAAATACAGCATTAGTGCTTTTCCCCCTAATTGGGTCAGTACCGTGAAATAAGCTTTTTCAAGTATGAGCCTTTAAAGTAAACTGGCTTTTTTCAGAAAGAGGGAAGACTGTTCTCTTCCCCTGCACTCTCTTCTCTTGCAGAACCAGAAACACATCTCGCTGTGTATCGGAAAAGACAAAGTGCCTACAAGGAATCTGAGCACCGGTACAGTCTGGATCGGCACTCATTCACAGGTCCACCCTTTATACCTTTCAAAGGGTCTTTGGTAAAATAAGAATCCAGATACATTCAATAACTGGAATAGACATATACAATCTGGCTTGGTGAACACACAAAAAGTTATTTTTGCTTATAACAGCAAACGTAGAGTTACATAAATACATTTAACATTAAATTAGTGTAATGGAGAAAAGGTGTTCTGTGTAGCAGGTATTGTGCGTTTGTTCCATACCTTAGCTTCTAGGGGGCCACGATACAATACAAAACAGACCCAAGACCGTTTGCCTTAACCCTGGCATATTCTGTGTACACCTGGGAAAGTTAAGCACATTTAAACACCCTAGTTGTGAGGACAGTGTGCAGAGCGCTCGCATAGCACACAAGTGTGATTTAATTAAGGGGTGGGTTATGGTTTATGCCAAATTTTAGCTAGCAATACCATTGGGTGAAAGGTGTGTAGGGGCAACTAATAGGATTTCACCAAGGCCCAGATTTCAGTTCTATACCAAAAACTAAAAAACTGGTACAAGTTGCTAGACAAATACCGGCAGCACAGGAGGTCAGATTAATCTAGCGGCCAGACTTAACATGCCAATTTAAGGATCACTGTACTCAAACAAAAACATACTTGGCCCACAAGGACAATGCAAACCTGATTCATGAAATGAAGGGATATTTTAAGGAGTGACTGTAAGCCAAGCATTTAAATCATTGCACCAGCCTTCAATCAGCAGCCAGACGTCACTGAAGACGTGCCTACTAGGATCTGGTATGTGTGACCGGGCAGCTTGTGGCACCTGCTGCTTTTGTGAGAAGTTAAGCTAGTGCTGTGTGATGGGTGAGCGGAGGGGGACTGGGCTGCCAATTATCACACTTGGTACAAGAATCAGTTTTGGGAGAGGCAACTGAAGTCTGACATCTTGGAAGCTGCTTAATGTTTTAGGAAACGAACCTATTTAGCTTGACATTAAGCAGCTTTAACATTCAAGGAGAATATCTACTGGCCCCAGATGTAGCTTTTATAGCTCAACCTAAAATCAGTCTGGAAGCACCGTATCCTGCGGCAACACGTTTGGCAAGAAACAGCACAGTATATAAGACAATGTGACGTTGTGTCATTTAGACCTTCACAGACAAGTGATTGCAAGGAAATAGAACAAATCAACTGGAAGGCAGGTGATTCAGTAGTGGTCAAGGAAAGAGACTCAACAGAAGGAAATTTTGCATTGAAAATCACTGGCCCACCGAATTAAATCCTAGATCTGAGCAATCCAAAAAGATTCCGCACTCAAGGGAATCGATACTGCAGGCTTAACATCTCCAGCTGAGAACTCCATAAGGCAGACAGTCTCAATCCTTTTAGTTTCTTTAAGTTTTTTGGTGGAACCTATTCAATTCAGAGGAATGGGTGTGGTGGCCCAGTGGACTGTCCTGGACAGTGCCCAGTGAGGCACAATTAAATCCAGGCCACCTTTTAGTGTCCGAGCATAGTATGTAGCCAAAATGAAGGAGCGCACGGAGAGGCGGATAGCCTAGTACTCTGCTTTTTGCTGTAGGAGTTTGACGGTGTATTTCAGTCGGTGGAGCATGTCCATACTGCATCCAGTGTCCACCAATGAGTTCAGGGGGAAGGTCTGAGAGTTCCGCTCTCTGTTGATGTAAGTAAGCAGGTAAGAGTCCTGAGTTTTGCTGAGAATAAGCTTTGTGTGGTCATTGTAGAAATTTACCTGGAATTAAAAGAGAAAAAAGAATGAATTCTCCATAATCCAGTTTCTAGATGAAGTTGTCTACAATTTAAGGCTGAGTTATGGTCCAGATTTCTGCATGAACAGCCCTGAACGTTTTGCACTATAACCATATGACATCGTTCCCTTAACACCCTTTTCTAGAAAGGAAGTCAAAAGGCTTAGAGATGCCAAACCCATATTTCCATTTTCAGAACAACTGTTCTTTCCCAAATTCATTTCCATATATTTAAAACAGATTGCCTTTTTTTGCATTGTAAAAATAAAAGTAAGCGTTTCAGACTCACCTGTAGAGTCCCATTACTGAACAGCATGAGAAGGGCATGCTCCGTTTTCACCCATTGAAGGAGTAATAGAAGAGGTAGAGTCCCTTCGTCTTGACAAGGCAGGTCTCCTCCCTACAAGCAAATAAGACAGTTCTATAAATTGCTCAGAATGTTCATACAGGTTTAAGAACAGCAGGCTTGTTGCCAGTCACTGGTATCCTGTACATTCCCTGCCAACCCTCCAAAACAAGGAATGTATACAGAGAATTCTGCAGATACCTGCAACTGGTTCTGTAACATTCTTTGACTATACAACTTCTAGGAAACTAAAGTTTAGCTCTCACCACACCAGTGGACTCCCCAAGATCAGTCTTCTAACCCATACCTGAATGTTAAAAGTATACTTCCAGATTCCAGCCTTTGTGCTCATACAGGATCCCACAGCTTGGTAAATATTCTATCAGTGATCCAGAAATATTTAGACCGTTATGTCAAAGTGCACATTTTAGGGGCTGGCAAACAAACCTGCAGATGCGTGTTTGGACCAATTATAAAATATAAAGTGTTCAGGTTTGAAATTGTAGAAACTGAACGGCATGACATGCGTCCCCTGCACCCTCTTCAAATCTACAAAAGTCACGATTACACTACATACTGAGATCTGGTTTTCCTGGTCAGGTTGACACAATGATGGTTTAAACATTGAGTCATGCAGACATTTGCACTAGATGACTGACAGAAAATAAGACTGAACCTGGGATATTTAACTGAGATCAGACTTTGAATGTTTCCATACACAACCTATGGAAATGAAGGTAAATTGCAAATGGGGATAATGTTCAGACTTTTACACAGCCAGTGACTAGAGTCGTCTTCTGCAGATTGGCTAAATCTACCTTCTCCATTGCAGAGCACCAGAGGCTGGCTGTTTATAGCTCTATAGCATAGCATAGGGAGCTCCGCCAGTAAAGGCTGTCAGTGTGTCGTCCATACATTTAAAAACCCAGGATAGAAGGAAAGACTACATTTAGCAACTAGACCTTAGGGCTTGTTATAGGTAGCCAACTGCTCTGCTCAAAGCAAATAGCAAGACCATTTGAGTAGGTTATGAGAAGAGTCTGCACAGGCCAAGAAAACAGAACCAAACCAGCTCTCCCAATGTCAGACAGCATCTTGACACCTCCCCCAATTCAAGCAGGCGCTGGACAAACTGAATACAATCTCCGCTCACCTTCATAAGGTTTTTCTCCATGTAGCTGGCAAAATACTGTAAGATGGTCATCTGGCCTTGTAACTGCTCCGGCACAGCGGCGATCGGGAACACAAAGTGGCGACTGTTTGTCAGATTGTAGTGAACATTCCTGGTAGAGAGAAAAAAAACGACACTATTGAAAACATAGTAGAGACAATGTAAGCCAGGAATCCAGTTTACATAGCATTAGTTCAGGGACACTGAGCTCCATTACAATAACTACAACACAGCGTTTCCCAATTCAAAGCACAACAGGCACGTCAATTCAGTTCCAGTAGGAGGTACTACAAGACTTGGATGGTCTATAGAAACAGAGGGCCACTGACCTAAAGTGAGTCGAATCGTGTACTTTTTACACTAGAAAGTGAAATTGTTCTGAGACCGTGAACAACGAATTTCACCAAATTCACTGAAGCCATAGATTTAAAAACTATCAAATCGAAGGGCTCTGGAGATTCCTAGAATGGAATCTTAGATCAAGAAGATTGCTGGGAGACCACATAATCTGCCAGAGTGCAGCACACATGATTTACAACGTGCCAAGCACACTGGAAGCATTATAAAGCACGGGAGATTAGGTTTTTGGTCTGACATTGGACAGATGTTAAGTCATTCTCTATCCTATTCCGTAGCTTTAAGCACTGGGTGCTAGGACAGCAAGGAAATTGGATCCTTCTGGTAAATCTGGTCAGAAGAGTGTGTGCAGTTCTGTTTAATAGACATTCCTCAAATGTGAGGTGAGGACATCCATATTACACACCGTGCCCCTCAGAAGTTTGACAAGCAGTTTGGGTCAGAGAGGTGGCACCTCTCAACATTAACAAGTGAATATTCCAGGTTAAATCTCAGTGATAACACTTTCTGGGAGTGCGATTCTCCTTACCTTCGACTCGCCGGGAGGATCATGTGAGTCCCATTGTTGAAGAGAACACCAATACTGCGATTGGAGAGCTGATATCCAAATCCATACTTGTTTGAATAATCCACCCATTTGCTGACCCACACAAAGGGATCATGTCTGGACAGACAGCTCGGCTTTCCTTCAGCTGTGGGAGAGTAACAGAATAGACCTTTATTGGAGGAACCCTACTGTTTGAATGTGAGAGGTCCAGGACCATTTTACACCGGGCACACATCTCCCCTCCCAAAATATCCTACAGTATCTCAAGTTTAGTAAGAGCCATACCTGCAGGCATGGAGGAGAGGCAATTTTTAAGGATCTCCAGCGCAGATTCCATAACTCCAGATGCAGTGACGCAGTCTTCAAAAGCTGAGACAATAAAGATACTGATTAGTACATACAGCACAAAGGGCAATGGTTTCACAACTAGTTTATATCCAGAAGGGTTTGCCCTTCCTGGGGGCCAATAAGTCACTGTTTGCCATGACTTACCATCACTGCTGCTAACCAGACTCCCACGGATAGAGCGAGAGACTGATTTCCCAGAAGCCTCTTCAGTCAAAGCCTCAACGGGGCTGGAGCTTCCAGTGAGTGCAGTGTTTGTTACCGGAACAGCCTGTAGGAGGAATGCAGAGGAAAGGGCTTACTTCGCGTAATATCTTCCATGCACCTGCACCTATTGTGTTAAATTAGGTCATTTTTGGCAACAGATTTTAACCATGCATTGTCTGGTATGCTCACTCACCTCGTTGCCATCCACAGTTTTATAGCTCAGCTGACGACAGATTGAAGTTTTTACCAGCCCTGTGACCAGTTTAGAAATGTCCTCCTTCTCCTCAGAGGGGGCTTTCTTTGCTACAGAGAAAAGTTGAGATTTAACCAGTTAGATCTATAAATGCAATGTACGATGACTGTTGACATTGTGGTTTTATCAGAGTCTGGCAAATCTAGATCTGGTGGTATTGGAAATAAAACCTGGGACTTTGTAAGAGTTATCTGCCTTGGGTAATGAGACAAGTGGTAAGGGTCACTTCAGGATTTAATGACAGCAAGTCATGAAGTTTATCCTTAAAGAACTAAGATTCTAACGGAGGATTTCTGCTGGCTGCCTGAATATGGTGACTGTACATGATTAAAGTGAGATCCAAACAAACCAACGTACTTTTTGATCTGCTTTTGCCAAACAAGCTCTTGGCAACTTTAGTGAAGAGACTCTTGGCTGGATTCGGTGGGTGCAGATCAGGTGCCATCACACAACTGCTGTGTGGAAGTTTGTCTGGTGTGTAGCCCTGAAAAACAAAACCCTTTTAGCATGTGCCATTTTAACAACACCTTTATTCACTATTTATCCAGTCCATTGGTAGCATGTTCGCACAGTGCAAGAGTCGCCCAGCAGACCCTGCTCAGCCCTATCCTTTCACAACACACCTTGGAGAAGAATTCGTGTTCTAGAATCTGGTCCAGTGTAAGTCGCTCTGATGGGCTACGTTTGAGGATACCCACTATAAGGTGCCTGGCGGCAGAGGACAGACAGGCGGGCAGAGTGTATTTCACTTGCTTAATACAGCGGTAAGTTTCCTTCAGGTCAGAGGTCTCAAAAGGCGGTGTTCCACACAGCAAGGTGTACCTGGAAGGAAAATGTAGGGGGTCAGGCAACGCATCAGGCACATCCTAAATTTTGCTAAATCTGGCCTAGAAGGTGTTCTCTGGGTATTAAATGGGATCCATCATGAGCTAGGCTGACATGGTGCATCACGTATTAATATTATAAAGTAGAAAAGCTGTGATTGCATTAGTGTAAGAAATGCCATCCCTTCAGCTGCTGTGTTCTGTGTGTTACAGTTTGGATTACTGGCAGCAGCCAGATAGGCACCGTTTAAAGACACAGGCAATAGAGACTAAATTTTTTATATAATTATATATTATGAAAAATCTACAATAAATAATTTTTTTTACAGTAAAGGGTGCCTGATTTGCTTAAGCTTAAAATACACAGTACAGATTGGCAAGCAGAGAGCAACAGTCTTTAAACATTCAAGTCTGATTAAGTTAGTGTAAAACCTGAACAGGGGCTTACCATTTCTTTTTTGTAATTGAAAACATAAACCGACCGATCTGGACATTTAATGTTAAACTTTAACCTAGTGTCTGGGGAGCAAGGTTGTGCCAGCGCTTTGCGCTGAGCCTGTGCAGATATTACTCAAACCCAACCACAAGCTTCCTGTGCAACACAAGACAGCCACGTGGGTTGCAACAAACAAACACTGTTCTTTCCACACAATGACATCAGTGAATGCACTGTGGATGTCAAGCCTCCCCACACCTCCAACACCAGTCTCAGTGGAACAGGGAGGCCCAAGAAGTCACAGCTGGTACCAGAGGTATTACATCAGAGATTGTAACACTTACATGACACATCCGAGAGACCACACATCAGATTCCGGACCGTGGCCCTGTCTATAGAGAACTTCTGGGGCCAGGTAATTGGGGGTCCCACATATTGTTCTGAAAATAAAAAACAAACAAGTGTCAGAATCCAAAGATTAGCCACAGCTGGCAAACGAGACTGCATGTATAGTATAAAATCGCAAGATAGTCAGCTATCAAAACACATGGTGACATCTGGTAAGCACCAACAGAACAGTTACACACTGAAATCTTAAACAGATTGTGTTACTTGTAATCAGGACATCACTGTCACATCCCAAGCAAGGCAAGTATTAACCCTTCAAAAGCACCTAAGATTCCCATTATGCCCTTTAGTGTGCAGTTAACCTGGCAGGGAGTATACAATTCATTGGGCCAGTGTCCCTGTTTAAGGGTTAGGATATTTGTCCATGGTGGTCGACATGCACCCCTGCCTTTTCCTGTGACCGATCTCTCCTGCTCTAGATCATATCTACACCCTAAAACTCACTTCTTTCTCTGTTCAAGAGGCTCCAGTCGTGCTGCCAGACCAAAATCTCCAATTTTCAGCTCCATTCGCTCGTTTATGAAGAAATTCCCTGCAAAGAAAGGATACAAGTGTTAAATACATTAGATTCCCTGCAACAAATCTGATGAATACTTAAAGTATCACTCAATTCAAACCACATCTCCGCGCAGTCTAAAATAGTCCAAGATCAGATTTAAAGAAAGAACGAGTCGGTTTACGTACCTAGCTTAAGATCCCGGTGAAGGATACCCCTGAGGTGCAAATACTTCAAGCCAGAAATAATCTGTTTCAGATAATAGCGCACTTCTGGCTCTAGAAGAGTGTGGCGTGCTTTCCAGATGTGTGCGAGAGACTGCAAGACAGCAATTAAAGGAACAGTTATTAGCACTTAGAGCACCAACATTCTGCAAAGTTGTAAAATTATGGGAAGGGATTTATTCTCAATATTATACAGCATTTCCACTGGACACATGAAGTGGGGTAAAAAAAAGCACTCAAACCAGCTGACAATCTACATTCAGAGTCTGTTTAAAGGACAGATTTGCAGCTTTTCCCAAAATGATGAAAGTCACATTTAGATCTAAGGAACCTACACATTATTGGGCCCTTTGTAAATGCCTAGACACCATCCTAAAATACTGTCCAAGGCTTCTTGTGAAAATTAAACATTCCTGCTGGAGGACAGTCCGCTGCTTGAGGCCTAGGCCGACACAGTAAGCCTTTGTATGATTTCCAGATGTCACACAAACAGGCAAGTTCCTTTATCTACAGCAGGAAGACTGGAATGTCTTTAGAGCCCCAGACCATTACAAAGACCCTTCACATACAGCTGCTGTCGCCCAGATGGAAAGACCAGCTGTATGTCATTTTAGGGGAAGCCTTTACTGCATTACATAATCTAGACAGGAGGGGTCACGCTAAAAACACAAAGTCACAAAGATGTATTTTTGGGTCTCTATCTCCACCCCCATTTCCCTTTACAGAAAAAAAAAAAAAAAGTGTTCAACTGCACCTTCATAGCCAAGAGTTGTGGAAATAATTTTAAAGGACTTTATGCACACCCAATATACATAAATGCTACAATGCACAAGATTTCACGTTCATGGTGTTAAAAAGTGTCAAACTGAGTCATGAGACTAATGTATATTTGCATTAACGATAGTCAAAACGGTTTCAGGAAATGTGCTTGTTTTGGTTAAAGAGGCAAGCAACAAGCTGTTGAACAACTTCAACTCCAATCAAGCGTTACTACACTAAAATATGGAGGACCACCTTTTGGCCCTGTAACACTGCATTGTTGCAGAATTAAAGTGTACATTGCACATTCTAAATTCACTTGAGGGGTTAACAGTGCAAAAACAAGTGTAGTGGTTTAAAAATAAAATGAAAGCTGGTGAAACTTCCTCTTTAAGGCTTGCCCAAGCTGCTGTCATAACGAGAACAGGAAACATGAAGCAGCTCAGAAACAAATTAAGACACGGCGAGTAAAGCAGGTTCAGGAAACTTGTGTAAACTGCTGAATGACATCTTCCAGCCACAAACTGAGTCATCTAACAAACCTCCACGCCGAGGCGGCAAAATCCAAAGAGATTAAAACTTCAGATTTAGCCAGAGTATTTCCGTCACGCTTCCCGCCTGGATTAAATATGTAAAACAAAGATGGCGAAATACTCACTTTCCTGCTGCAAATCTCAAGAAATATGTAGATATTCTCTGCGTCTTCAAAGTGATGCGAGAATTTGACGACGTGTTTGTGGTGCAACTCCCGGTGAAGTTCGATTTCATTTACAATCTGAAAAGAGCAAAAATAAGCCAAAGTAAGGAAGGGCTAACCGTGCATTAATTCCCCCCACCACCTCATGTCAACATAAGCTGGCAAAGGGTCAGTGAAAGAGTTAATATGAGCTGGGCAATAGACTGTCCAGCAGCGGTTAACGCAGGATAAGGAAGAGGGACAGTTTTTATAGATTTAATTTCAGCTGACAGACCATCAATCTTTACATGCAATAACAGGAATACTGCAGTATATATTTGCATGTTATAAAACATGTATTACATATTAACATGCAGGTGTGACCCATTTAGTATGAGGCATCAGACACTGTACTCTGTGTGACTGAGAATCAGGAAAAGTGTAGAAGAAAAGTTTTTGGAGGACATTGGTTGCTGCCTGTATTTGGTTAAAGAGAGACACTGAACACCATTACTACAGCCCAGTGATTGCCAACATGTCCCAGGTACTTACCTCCAGTTCAATCAACTCCTTTGTGCAGTTTGATAGTTCCTTGGTCAGCCGATGCCTGACCCCTCAGAAACCAGAGTTACTGCACAAACTATTTCTGATATGGACAGCGCTCTGGCTCATTGTGTCCATTTGAATACATACAGTATTGCTATTGCCAATTAAGAAATTACATTCCGCAATAAGGCGAGGCCAAGTAACCTGCGCCCAGGGGGACTGATTAAATAAACGTGCTCAAAGACCAGTCTGACAAAACTGGAGAATAGCACCAGGGGCACGTTGGCACCATAACCACTTACATATTCTGTAAAGTCACTAGATAAAGACAGTTTTACCTATTGGTCAGAATCACTCTCCCCCAAAAAATGTACTACATTTCTACTGATTCTGATCTAAGTTTCCTTTTCCTTCTTTGAATAATATTTTGTATTACAAGGGTCTATACATTTCATTTAAAACATTTTTAGGACGTAGTTGGGTTTGAGAAACATTTCAAGTATTTTATCATAAATTATCAAAGCAAAACTTTTCTAAATACACAGATTTATTTTTGGCAGAGATGTGCCCACCGACTAAGTTTGTGAGAAAATACAGAACAAGCCGCAATTAACCACAAGACCATCATACACTGCGGTAAGTGACACTATATACCACTCACCTTTTCACGTTGGTGAGGCTTTGAGACTCTACTGTGGGGGATGACTTTGACAGCATACATTTTGTTAGTTGATATTTCCGTCATTTCGTAACAGCGTGCAAACCCCCCCTGAAAGACATTACATGATTAATATAAGTATAACGACACTCTCACTAAAGTTCAGTTTGTATCAAAATGTACCTACAGCCACCCACAGGGTACAGGAAACATTGAAACAGAAGGCCGCAGAATGCGAAAGTTCATAAACATTGGCAGATTTAGTAATCAAAACTTTACATGCAGTGCAAGCAACATGAACATTCTACTGGTTTCCATGGCAACTGCTCCACGTTTAGAACTCCCTCAGAATTGCTAATGAATTCTATCCTGTTTCTAATCATTCACATTAAGATCTCTCGGCACGCAAGACATCTAATCGCCTTATTCCCCCAAGCAGCGAGAGGATAAATATTCATTTGTACAGCATAAATATATCCTTATGACACGTTAGTAAATGCAGATTGATGCTCATTGTCCTCAGCCAGGCCCATATTGGTTTCCAGTTGAGCATTGCGTGCAGCGATCGATGAGCTATGTTACCAAAAGATGCTCATTACATCATGTTAAGATATTAAATGTTTATCGGGTCTATCGGGGTTGATTAAAATGGAGTAAGCCATTTTCGGCACTCCAAATGTGGACTACATTCCCCTTGATGCTTTGCAACAATTATGGCTAAGAGCTTTATAGGAGATACAGTCAACATCTGGAGTGCTTAAGGCTTTTTGCCACGTGTGCCAACTGACTATTAAACACCATAGCCTTGCCAACTCACACATCTGCCTGAGCCACAAACCTTTTCACCTATTCGCACAAAGTGTTACAATTCTCAAAGCGAATCAGGACCCGCTGACCACCCAGCTGGGTGGGGGCGGGTCCGATCCCCATCAATACACTTGTAAAAGGTCAGATTACACAGAATGAGAAGCAGATACTGATCTGGGAAATCCCTAAAAATAGCCTATTTATACACTACATGCCAAGGCATTAACAAAAAGTCTCACCTCTGTTTATACATCAATGGTAGCAGTATGGGATCATCAATAACCAAATGGTGTTTACACAACAGGTCTATAGTATACAGTGTACGGGGGGGGGAAGACAGGGCTATAGTATACAGTGTACGGGGGGGAAGACAGGGCTATAGTATACAGTGTATGGGGGAAGACAGGGCTATAGTATACAGTGTACGGGGG